CAGCTAGAAATCCGAGAAATCGCTGCTTTATTTAGACGCGTTAAGTATTCAGGACAATTACACGATGGAATTACGTGACAGAGTCACTGGTCACGGTGAATTTAGTGTGTGCTGTTATCGCCGGTTACACTAAATAGAATCCTGTAGTTTAATTTTGAAATGTTCATACAGGTTTGAATAGCGTAAGCCATCAGAACTCAAATATGAAATAACAGAAGCCAAATTTTTAAAAAAGAGTTTGCGAGCGCTAATCAAATTATGATATTCGATACGTTGTTGTTGACGTCTTTCGTCACGAGATAATAAAATTTGTCAAATTTTGGCCTTTTAAAATGCTTAAAGTATTAATCGGTGTGGTTTTAAAGCTCTGTCCTACTATATTTTCTACTTAAAATGGTTAAAATCTAAGATTTATTGAGCTACTCACATAAAACGGTCGGAGTTTGCTCAATGAACTAATTTGCATAATCGGCTGTCACGCTTGCAATATCGCTAAAAGTTCGAAGTCACCTCGGCGAAGAAAATCAATAAGTGCAAGATGTTTTTATATTTTTCTGCAGCCAAACATCTTATAAGCAGAAATCAAGCGGAGTTTTTAATGGTCTGGTCTGGACTTGAGCAATATCAATCGAGAAAGAAAGAGTCATTTTAACCAATTTCAGAAAGCTGTCCAACGAGTGTTTTTAAATAAATTATGACGAGCCTCTGAATAAACGAATATCAAAATTGAAATGCATTTTATACACCTTATATATCACACACTTTAAGAATACAAAATATTTTTTGTTGTATGCGGTGTGATACGAGGACCGGGCTATTCAACTTTTGAAATTTTCGATGTCGCAAGAGGTCAAAAATAGGCCTTTTGCAGCTTTGACTTTTGAGAGCTCTAAAAATTTTATTTTGAGGTATTTCCAGAAACTAATGTGGTTTTATTTACTTGTTACCAAAAATAGTTTATTGGGCAAAGTTTTAGGGAAAACTTTTTTTCGATGATGAGATCGCCTCTTAATAGAGTACTAAAACATTGGATAGGGTTAAAGGCGCGCGATGATTGGCTGCTCAAACTCCGAATATCCTCTGCTATTCACAGTCCAAGCAACTCCGTGGGATCTGCGCCCGAAAATATTGTAATCGTTGCAAGAATAAATGAGTTAAAATCATCTTTTTGTCCTATATTAACTTAAGGTTTGAGTATATACTAAAATATCTATAGTCACCTTTGTAAGCCAGTATTGGTGACTAGTGGTGGAGCGGTTTGTTAAATATCCACCAATAGCTTCCCTCCACTTCGGTGAATAGCTGTTACTTATTATTTTTTTTTTAATCCTCAAAAGGGCTCACCATTGGTTCGTATTAGTTTCGATACTTTAGTAAACTTTCCTATATCAAAGGCTTTTCGGTCAAGAAAAAGTTGGGTTAAACAAATAAGAAGAGGATAAATGAGGAAATTAGAAAACGATAACAGGACGGTAGAAGACATGAAGAGGCTTAAAAAGGGATTGCAACTCAGAAATAAGTGAGGCGCGAAAAAATTAACCGGCCTCCTTTTTCTTCAAACAACTCGTAGAACCAGTTCTGTTTAAGCTGAGCTGGAAGGTCTCCTTCGAACAACATCACAAATGCCCTACCCCCTAGAGAAGAATAAGTGTTTCATTCCAAAATACTCATGTTTTTGTCTTTGGCGTAAGCTAGTTGAAAGCTCTTATATAGAAGTCGGAAATTGCGACTTTTAGCTTTTAAATCATAAAATCAAGCATCCTAACTTCAAACGAATGGCTGGGGTGAAAATCACCCACTAAAAAGTACTCAAAACTCTTTTCGAAAACACTTGGCCGCTCAAGTTACACAAATGACCATAGAGGGTAACTACCCTTTAATGAATCTTAGTGGAAGATACAGGTAAAGTGTTTACTGTCAGCCACATAGTGTGCTGGATCATTTGGCCTTACCCAGGGCTTTCCTCTCTTCTGTTTTTTCAACTGAATTTGTAAACCAAAGTACCACAGCAATGTTACTAATTACCACTAACAACGTTACACAAAGACAGTTTCCATATGATGGAACAATTGACAGATTTTCCATAGCTTTCCTCCTGCCCAACATGTCCAAATAAACGGCTGTATATTCATCCATAGTACCTATTGCATCACAAATATACAGAATGTGATGACTCCGCCCAAAGAAGTCGAAAACGCCTGGCAAGAGTTGTTCAGGTAACCTTGTACCGTTAGCCAAAGCAGCTACTGCAAAGCATAGAAAGTGGCGTCTGGATGGCAGGATGCAACGTTACAATCTACGTCTGATATACAGTCGTATATCCGCAGCCAGTATGGCAGTGTGTTTATAAAAAAAGATGTCACAAAAGTTCCGGTTCGAATTAGGAACTTGAAATCGATCCAACGGTGTCTGGATGCACAACAGGAAAAGTTCGAAAAAATGGAAACTGTAGCACAGACAACAATAAAAAGTGAATAAGAGCGAAAGATCAGCCAGTCGTTGTTCACGGGTCTTGAATAGAAGTAAGATGCCTGTCCCACAGAAAACGCGTACACACTGATAGCGGCATAGTCAAAGAAGAAGCAAACATGGAGAATCTTGCTCAACATCGAGTTAAACAGGTGCGCTCCGACACTCATCAAAGGCGCAGCGTTCATCCCTATGGCCAAGGATAGCAGGGGGTAAAAAATCACATCATTAGATGAATTGTGTTCCCTAAATATGATGATCGAGCGAAAAATCAAGGCTATAAAAGTAATAACATGTGACCAAACATTGATCGTTTTTTTTTTATTTCTTAAAGACACTTTGAATACATTCCCCAGCCGACAAATGTGGACGACGATAGCCCGATGTTATAAAAGGCTCACGGAATTCTAGAGGTAGTTTGTCCACAGGATAATCAAAGTTGTCCTTGGTATTTTTTATAGTGAAATAGCTACTAAATTCTTGCAAGCCGGCTAAGCCCAAGTCTCTCACTGAACAGCTTCATTATCAACAACTCAGTGCGTCACATTGAAAGACTGAAACCGCTATCACGCAAATCATTCGTAATGAAATGCAAATCGTACATAGATGTAGAATGTTTCATGGTAACTGAGCAGGTATGATATACACAAATTTCATGGTCTCCAGAGCTTTCGCCTCATTGCAAGTTTGCCGCCCACCACCTTTGCAAGTTTGCTCCTGCAATAAAACAATTTCCACCAGTTTGCCCCAAAATCCTTTCAACCCGTTCCCTTACGACAGAACGTATTCTGCTGAAACCATAATGACTATTTTATGAACAAACTAAACTAAAAGGCTTTTTCAGGAGCCAACAGATATTCTAGAGTAAAGACAAACGTACGTATCTCGTATTTTGAGACTTGCACTCGTATGTATTTGCGCCCGGCGTTTCATAGCGACTCATCGTGCTTTCGTACTCGAGTGTTTGCCTCAAGATAAAATTACACGATGCTTAAAACGTATTGCGATCTTGATTAAGAAGGAAAAGGAGGTGGAGAACTCGCTTTACTTCCGGGGGCGAACTCGCAAAGGCGAAACCCGCATAAACTATTTTCATCCATGGTACATTCAAGTAAATTAGAATTTTTTAAAGATATCAGAAATGCTTTGCCACGCCTTTTTTACAGGAGAGTATGGCTGAAAGCGTAAATTGACGGGAATATAGCCGGACTAGACTACTCTTATTCCTGATCTCGTTCGCGCCCTTTATAGGATTTCAGCCCGTGTGGCCGAAGAGAGAATCCCGGATTTCAGCCGCCACGGCTTAAACCCTTTATGGAAAGGGAAGAGAGAGTTAAAGGACTGAACTAATATGTTTTTGAGGTCATTTTATCATTCGCTCTCCCGCTCTTCAACTTTCAATTTTTTTTAATAATCTAATGCCTTTCTTTACCTGCTATTAAAAACAAACCAACGGGTAAACAAAAGGAGACTGGTCAAAGGGGAGGGTATAAATTTTCTCTCTTCGCATCTATCATTTAATGTCTTCAGTTAAAACCCAAATCTACCAATTTTTGGGACGGCAACGGAGTAAAAAGGTTAACAACTATTCACAGAGAGGAGATAAATGCTGTTGCTTTTCACCGACAAGGTGAAAATAACTGCTTTTGTCTATAAAAAAACAGTGATTAGCAGCGTTTGTTGAAAAAATCTAGTTGTTTAAAACGAAATTACGTATTACAGCCATCTTTTCTACTTGAAAGTGAGTAGTACTTGCTAATCACCACCGAATTAGCCCAACAGCACAAACAAAAAGTGCTACTTAATGGTTTGGTATATCATACCTGTCAAATCATTATTCTCCTTTTCCTCCACAAGTCTCAAGCCTAAAATTATTTGCTTTCCGTCTGGTCAGATATTACAAATTTCGATATTACATGTATTGATCTACTTACTTAAATAACTTATGAGATTTCACAAGTATTTTAAAATGGGACTTTAGAGATTTCCCTGACGTATAGCATCCAATTGCTGAAACACTTTGAAAATGAAAAACTATCAAATTTTTCGATTCTCTATGCCTGCATCCCTATGAAAAAATAGGAGAACCATGAGAAAATGCATTGATCACATCAAAGTGAAGTTGATTAATTGAATCAGTCTTCATAGATAGTTCTTCATTCAGAAAAAGATCGCCTGTCTTATAAAGAGAGGGAAACAAAATCATAAGCCTTCCTTTTCAAGCTCATTGGCCTCCGAAATAAGAATGAAAGTTCCTCGCTATTATTTGGGGCTGAAGAATGATACATCGTTAAAGAAATGAGAGCAAGTTATTCATGTACAGAACGCCCTTAGAGGCTATTTTTGATAAGCGACTAATATTGCCCGCGCAAACCGCTTCATTTAATGTATGTAAATGAGAATGCACTGGAAACTTCAACACGGTCCAGTAGAGATCCAAAAGAGGTTAAAATCCTTTTGTTTTGATTGTCCCGTCGGGACGCATTTTCATGCAAAATGAGCATAGGAATTTGCATGTGTATTCTTTGTGATCGAAGTAGCCGCGAGCCTTGAATGGCATCTTACTCTTATGAAATCGGCAAGAATCTTGTGAACTACTGCACTCAAACCGAAATCAAAACCTGGCTGAGTGTGAGTTTTTAAGATGGCATGGGCCAGCTAAGGATAAATTGTTAACTTTCGCGCTCTTTTTTAATTCAGTGAAGGAGTTTGACACACTTTCAGTCAAGCAATGGCCGATGAGGTAAGTTTGGCACGAAACCATTCACAAGATAAACAACAAACAACTTCGGGACTCAAAGCTTTTTTAAAGTTGTCTTAACTTCAGCTTCTATCAAGCAAAGAGATATTTTTGGTGGTAAAATTTACCAAGGAAGTTCAGACCAAAAAGGCGCTTAATTCTTAACCGTCTGGCACTTTAGCGGATTACTGTAGACGATCGAATGATCTCAGGGGGTCAGTAACCTACAAGGTTCTAGATCGTAAAAATTTTCCGCGTTGGATGGATCGATTTCGCTTTGTTTACAACTCGATTTGGACGAAATATCGTGTTTTTCCGTAATTCATGATACAAATCAATGAGCAATTTTCGCTTAATTTGACATTGAACTCATGCAAACGGCCCAACATTGTGAACGGAAGTTACCGCTCTAAATTGAACAAATTTATATATTCTTATGCATAATTAGAGAAACATAAATTCTTTGAGTAGAGGACAGCTTAATTTTATTTAAACTAAGCAGAAATAAGCCAGCCGCTGATTAATTTCCACACACATTCCTTCATAGCCGGCAAGTAGGAACACTCTGTTGTCAGAATAATACACGGCACCTTGTGACGAGACCGTCATAATGACCCTCTCCTACTTTTCCATAACAACGACACTTGCGAAACCCGGAAAAAAGTGAGCGTAATGGGTTTATTTCGGTGTACACAGTGCGTCATCTTTTTTCTAGTGTATCTGAGTGAAATGATGAGTAGAATATGGATGGTTAGGAGTTTCGACTTGCCTACGTGATGTCAGGCGTGCCCTGGCTGCCAAACGAACGTATAGAATTTCGTTTCCCCCCTTCAACCCTTCTACGTGTATTCAACCATTCCTGAAAGGACAATTGATTTCTTTGACTTTGGAAATAGATGATTTGTATAAAATGTGTTTTAAAAAGACCTTTCCATTCGGTTTAACAGGAATCAATCCGTGTTCGAGGCGGCTTGAATATTTATGAAGGTCTTTTATGCTGTTTTCTATTCTTGGTGGAATTAGGTGAATTTTCAGACGCTACTGGCTCCAACTTGATCGGTTTTCGAAATTATTCGCAGGAAAGTTCTTTAACCATAATTTTCAGTATGATTCCATGTAGGATCTTTTTTGAGAAATGTTGAGTGCATTTTTCGGCTTCTAGATTGGTTAATGACCTCAAGGATCTAGAAGGATTTCTTCTTTTAGAAGGGATTTGCATTGTAAGTAGCTACTGGAAGGAATGTCAATTGACCAATGACTGAGTCACTCTTGCACTTTGTTTGATAACGGTGCCTTCTAGCGGCAATGGCGATGTTTACCTTCGATGTGCGGTTAATCAAAAACACGTGTTCTTCGAATGCAATTGAAAACATACTTTATTTCACTTTCGTGGCTTATCTAAAGAGAGGATTTAATGAATATACATAACTTCAACCATAAGCCTCAGCCTAAACAAATAAAACCGTTGCTATTTTTGCCATTTGATTAATAGCTTCAGCAGGGCCGTTTACGTAATACTAATATATTTTGATCACGACTATGATGTTTGATCTGCAGATGTGCCTGCTGTTTTACTGTTACTGAGCCATATCATTAGGGGAGTCACAATCAGTTTCCAGATTCTCCCACATCAGGGCTAAAATATTAGTCGCATTTTTTAAACACTAAACACGACATTCAAAAATTGATTTCCCTAACTGCCAGGAGATCACGTACACCTCATGTATTTGGGAAACAGTTTGTATTAGACATGAGAAACATCAATTATTGTGTCTATAGAAGAATTCGATATTTTATTTTCTTCTTTATTATAAGGAGAAAGTTTATAAATCCATTTGGAAAGTTCATCATCCCAACACATGGCCTTCATAGCAATCTATGAATTTAATTGTTCTTTTTTATCTAAAACTATTTGGTGGTGGTTAGATTAGACATTTTTAATTAAAACGGTGGTAAAATCGATGTTAGGCCTACATGTCTTATATATTAGCCACAAATAAGCCTCATTACTATTTCTAAAAACTAAACTTAGGATGTCCTCCAGGGTTCAGGTTTTTTTCATCCTGATTCACTTCGAAATTTTCCAAGCGGGTTGTGCCAGTAATGGCTTTAAATTATCATCCGATAAATCGCCCACAGTCTGGGAAGTTTGGTAATATTATCTACTACTTGCGTTATTTTTGCACATCTGGCCAATTTCACCACTTCACTTTCAACAATAACCGATAGGTATTTTTTTCTCGGGTGAAACGTGGTCATTCAGGTGTATCAGGAGTTAAGTCCTTGGCATTTTGACATTCTGAAAATTTATTCTGAGATTGATCAGAATAAGTCTTGCGATCTTTTCCAGGAGTTGGTTCCGTTGGCTGAGGGGCCTGGTTCGCCGGCTGCCGAAGAATCTGCAGCTGAGCCTGAGTTGACAAATCCTGACGAACCCATGGAAACTCTGACTGTATCGCTCAATAAAAAGAAAGGTACGACTCAACGAAAAAACAGGTGGTTTTAATTGGAATAGTTTTGCTTAATAAATTGTCAACCAAGTTTTTGCAAAAGGTTCCCTTAGTCTTATACACTCAATGTTCATGGAATCGGTGGTTCTTTCATTTAAATTTTGCTATTCATTGCTCAAACCCACAAAAGGGACGTTTTTAAAACCGTCGATCAATCCCGGGATTGTTCGTTTAGTCATCGGTGCCCATATAGTACCCATCGTCACTTGTGGTCACGAAGTCTTATTGAAGTTTTTGCATTCATGAAATAATTTTCAATGCTCTCTTTCTTGTTTTAAATATTAGCCTTTCGACCCCTCACAATATTTTCCTCTAAAACCACCTTTTTCCTTCCTTATCTGATGTAGTTACTATCTCTTAGCCAAAGAAAATTTCAATCATAGTTTGTTTAAAAAAAGATGTATTACAACAATGCATTTTTAACGTTTCTCTTTGGAACTGTTTTGTTCACAGGTGGGTATGGATTCAATATCAAAGGGGGTCGAGACAAGCCCTTCAGAGAAGGGGACTCTTCTATTTATATTACAAGGCTCAGACCGGGGGCTACCGCGGAGAAAGATGGCCGTTTGGCTCCTGGAGACAAAATACTGGAGGTTTGTAACACATGAGTTTTGTAAAATGGAAATTTTTATTTTCCTCTCCGTAACAACTTTACGACCGAAGCGCTAAAAAAAGCGATTTAAAAAGATCTTCTATTAACCAACAAAGTTGTTGACACTTGCAACTGTTCCTGCATAGTTGCCTCTTTTGATACTTTAAGTAACATCAAATTTTTTTTTTTTCAATCATTTTGGGTAGATCAATGGTAACGATGTTAGTGATGTCACGCATTCTGAAGCTTTGGACTTGGTGAGGGAAACAAAAGGAGGGAAGCTGACCTTATTGGTACAGAAACGAGTTATAAAGGTAATCAGCGCTTTAAGGATTGGTAAACGAATATGCAAAGACAAATTCGGTAGCTATAACATTTAAAAAGAGATGAAAACCAGTTGACCCTTCGCTCTTGGGTGAACTTAGATAAAAATTTGCCGTCTTAACGGAACCGCATTTTTCTCGTCATCTTCCTCCAATTGACTTGATTACACGATTCTGATCGAATCTATAATTTTACTAGGAAACCAAACCAGAACGAATATCATCAAGGAACTTTGGATAGTTTACTTTTTCATGTTCAACGTCTCAAATTTGGTTCTATTCCTATGATAATTTCAGCTCGAATTCAATATTTCGTCTCAAAAAATGTCATTAAAAAGTTTTCACTAATGACTGAATTTTGCTAAGTCAAAAAACTTCATGTTTGCAGTTCACTGAAGGTGAGGATGGAGATGATGGACTCGGTGTCATGAGCATACAACTGCACAGAGAAAAGAAAGGTACTGTATTGCACCTTTAAAGTATTATAAAAAATAGTAGTCCATGTACACTTGCTACAAATGCAGTCCTTTTTTCGCTTGTTTATTAACATCGTTTCCTTGATAGGGAGAGGCTTGGGTTTTAACATCCGAGGAGGTAGAGATAGCCCGTATGTTCCTGAGGATCCAAGTATCTACGTAACCCGAATCAATTCAGAAGGCGCGGCCGCCAGTGACGGGAGACTTAGCGTTGGTGACAAACTTCTCGAGGTAGGAATGTTTTTGTGACTCATGACCAAATAATTTTAGAACCCTTCTGACGGCTTTTATGAGACGAAAACTGTGGTGAAGTATTGATCAGGTGACCACTCTGCTTAAAACATCAATTAATAGAGTGTGGTATTGTGCGAGAAGTTTATGGATACCATTTCCGAGACAATTTTCTACTAATTTCTCCATAATCTTTTGGCTGTCACTGAAAAGGTGATATATTTTTTTCCCCATATTAGAGAGTTCTGCATTTAACTGGCATGAAAAAGGTTTATATAACAGAAAAATCACCTTATGTTATTTTTAACCCAACAGATCAATAATGTTAACGTAGAGGACACCACAATAGACCGCGCTATCGATCTCATTCAGTCCAAGAAAAGACTTCTCCTACTGGTAGAGAAAAAGGCACTCCAGCGAGTGGTGGTATGTCATCCAAGTTTCTGATTTCCACCGCTTTTCAACCCAAAACTGAAGCAAATTTAACATCCTTTTTTTGCATCCCGCTTCGTTCCCTCTTTCTTTATCTAAACCACCAGTTCAGTTCTTGTTTATCACTGTAGATTTGCTTTTTGTGCACGAACTACACTAAACCTATCTTTCCCTTGTCAGGCTGAAGAGAAAAAGACATCTTTCTGCCTGCTTTTTTCCCTCATTCCCCATAGTATTAGATATTCTTTTGTGGTAGTCGATTAACAAGATCCAAGCTTGGTCACCTCTAATAACTTAAGTTATTAGAGGTGACCAGTTAGATAATCTGACAAATGTTCGATTGTAATCCAGTTATTTTAAGCTGGCTGAATCCATACAAACCTGCCAAAATTTATGCAGATACAATGCGCAAAAAAAAGATTAGTAAGAAAACTTAACTGGCTTGAATCAGTAATGCAGCAAATAAACCTCAACAGGTTTTCTTTTTTTTTGACAACGAACTTTTTAAACATTAAGTTGATGCAGAGATGCCAACATAATACGAGCAAAACAGTACCACGGGTTTGTTGAGATTGAATTCCTTACCGGTGCATTTGACGAGTTTTGATTCGGAAATACAATGAGTCCAAGAGCCCTTAAATCGATTACCTGGTTTTCATACGAAAATAATGTAAGTTGATGATATGTATAAAACACGCTCATGCAACAATGAATTCCTGTTTGCACAACCCAAGACAACAATGTAAACAATGGAATCTTCTAATATTCGCCAACCCGCCTTTTTAACACCTTTACCAACCATGTAAAAAAACTACTTTGGTGGCCGATTCCAAACGTTGAAGTATGCGACGTTGACTGTGCTCGACATGGCAACACCTCACGTAAGATAAACCTTAGACAGAATTAGTCGTTGTCTCTTATAATTTACCAAAGGGTGACTGGCCGCATTTTTCCACAGAAAACCGTACGGGAAGGCGCAGTAGACAGCGTAAGAGGAGTCGAAAATGTGATTGAATTATACAAGGACCCTGAATATGGTAATGACTGAATACATGGGCAATTAGGGTTATCACAAGACTGTATGGGCTGTTTTTTTTTTCTTGACTCAGTGAGGAGTTTCGAGTAACGAATGACCGTTTAGACAATCATAGAGCAAGGAGGAGATCTGAATTGTTCAAAACTTAAGCTGTTTTCCTTTTCCAATTCATTTTTTCGCTCCTTGACAATAACATTAAGAGATCTTAAAAACAAAAGCATCAATTCCAAGGGTGCTATCTTCATTTGCATTTTTCTTTAGATTTTACTTCCATTGTATTTAATCCGTTTGTGTTACTTTAAAAAAAAACATAGACAGAGCTTAAAGATTCTTTTAATTTTCAATGCATCTTAAAGAGAAGGCTAAACAGCAGAATACCCTGCCACTCATTAACATGTCATTAAGTAAGAATAGCGTCTATTGTGTTATGCCTCGTTCTTGAAAGCCTCACGACGCGTGTACATGAGGTGGACCAAAGTGGCAGGGTATTCTGCAGTTACTACCAAGGGACTGACACACAAATCACTGTATCATGAAAGTATTCTCAGAGAAAGATTTCGGGTGAAACCATGTTCAAAAATTTAATTGCATTTGTGGCTTCACTCCTTCCCAGGCCTTGGGTTCAATATCAGAGGAGGCAGTGACGCTAATTACATGCGTGGCCATCCGGGAATCTTTGTAACGTCAATCAAACCAGGAGGCTCCGCTGATCGGGACAGTCGGCTAAAAATCGGAGACAGACTCCTTGAGGTACATTTGAATTGCTAAAAATAAGTTTTCTTAATTCCGTTCACGATGGACCACATCGAATGTAGATCGCAGGTTCCGATTGTATACCGCTGACGACTTAATCAGGCGATCAAGGTCACTGTTCATGCGCAAAACGCCCAAGACCACCCACATCTGATGTTTCTGAGTTGGACATGAGCAAATGGCGGTGAGGGATGAACGCTTTCACCAGTGTATTTATTTCCCCATACCCACCTATACTCCCAGAAACATTTGTTGGGACACCTACTGCCTCCCCTCCCTCTCAATGTTGGTCCGCAAGATGGCATAGACACATTAGTAATTAACAACATTGGAAGGGGGAGAGGGGTGGCGAAGTGTCCCAACTTATTATGTCTGGGAGTGTAGGTTTCAAATCATATAAAAGCAACAAAAATGTTCTGAAGTTATTGTCTTTTCACCTTCAGATAAATGGCGTGGACGTTCGCTCTGTTCCTCAAGATGCTGCAGTTCAACTTGTTCAAAGATCCGTTGACAAAGTTACTCTATTGGTTGAAAAGGACGCAGAGCAGCTGTTTAAAAACTCTGAGTTTTACAGTTTGGTAAGAGCTTAAGGTCTCAATTTGTAGTTACAATTTCCGAAGTATAGCATTCTGAGCTGAAGTAAACGTAATGAGTTATGAATAAAAGCTGTTCACGCCTTTGTCAATAAACACCCAAGGTAATGTAAGGACTTCCTTAGTTGTCTGTTGTACCTTTGTCCCACCTATAAGAATTAAAGTACTTCATCGTGTGAGTTAACCATAAGGATTTGGTTCGACTGATTTTATATGAACCCATATTTGTAGAGTGATTTTGATGAGATCGATATGAGTGGAGAGGCAGGCTGTTTCTTCAGAGATCAGAAAAGAAGAATAGGTGAGTCTGTACAGACACTCTTAAAAATCACTTTGCCACGGGAGAACCTTGTTCTTATTTTACCCCAGATAAGGAATTTTATAGTTTATTGGGTAAAGTGTTACTAGTATCTCACCGGTTTTCTTCGCCTCCTGCCTAGACTTTGTCCTGGCTTACGAAGAGTTCGATAATGAACCTGCTTCGAAAGAAACCCTACGATACAGAAGGAGGTACATGAAAAACCTGCAGAAATCTCAGCTGGAGTTCGAAGAGGTTTGACCGTTTTCTCGATATGTGAATTATCGTCTTTTTCCGCAATCCACACTTGTTGAGATGTGCTACTGATTATTTTGAAAGATAGATAATACTTTTATCATATTACAATTTCTTTCCTCTCTGCACCACAGAGAGATACTTAAACGTTGATAACTAAGGCTTCTGTTTGGCTCCTATCACGTAATTCATGACAGTCGACCTGCAAGACAAACTACTTATCATTTGCCACCCTCTGCCTCTCTCCACAAAATGATCCCTGTCTCTAAGACTATCAGACTAATAGCATACCTAATCCGCGGTTCTAGGAACAATCCCCAACGAAGAAAGGACACCTTCACTTCATCAAAGTTCACGTTCCGTGGGAAGTCATGTTATTCTACGCCGAAGAGCTGAATTTTAAAGGTCCACTGAAGGTACAGAGGGCTAGAGTTCATGATAGTGTTCGTTGGGCCGAGGGAGCCTTAATTCAAACCAAAAATCATGATTGGAAATCGCTCTGACGAAGGGCTAACGCTCGAAACGTCAGCTTTTTTACCCTTTACGGTGGCTAATTTACGTTTTCAACTCAGTTGTTAACACTAAATTACCTGCTATACTCTCCCACCGACGCAGCACCACAGTTTCTTTAGAAAATTACCCCTTTATTCAAAAATCATACATATTTGTGATAGGAATTTATCCCCTGCGACACTCTCTCTGTTAGAGGAGCAATGAAGGTCAGCGTTCCATACACCCGGAAATGATTGCTGACCCGGACAAAAGAGTTGCGCGCATTTAACTGCATGCTAGTTTTTGAGAAGCACGTTCGCAAGAGGTATGGAGTCAAAATGTTTCTTTTTTACCACCGTACTAACTGATTCTCTCCCCTCAAATCGTCTTTCAATTCAAAGGCGAGAACAGAAGAAAAGATCAACTGGTCAGAGCGGATATTGAAGAAATTTCATTTGCCAAATATATTCAAGGATGATGTCCCAGATCAACCCCCAAATTACTTTACAGCCACCTTTCAAGCCAGTAAATTGCAGAGGTAACTAAAAAACGTCATGAAATGTTTTGCATGAAATAACATCTTGAGAAAAACACTTAAATACGATAGGCGAACATATGAACACTCTGATTAATACCAAAAAAGATTACTCTCCGGTCAAGGGCTAGTTGTTTCACATCCTTAAACGTATACAATGTTTCTACTCCGAAATTTATGGATGTAAATAAAACTGAGTATCCCTCGCATCTTATTCTTTGTCTTTTCTTTGTGTCGAGTCTGAGTGCTTTAAATTTTTTTTCCCCTGCAGATTTGTAGGAAGCGACAACCCAGAAACGTACTTTAAGGACACGGAACGAACAAGAGTAGTGAGTTTTTGTTGTATTCTTGTGTTATTAAAGTTATCTCACTCTGAAAAAATAAAAAATTAATGGATCCTTTTGCATATTTTCTTGCTCGTGTAAACGGTTTTTTTTTTCCAGGCAAATGAGATCCTCGAAACAGCTGTGTACGGAAGCCGCAACAAAGGAGAAATAGGTAACGGATCGATTTTACTGGAACGAGGGATGACAACAAAAGAGGATTTGGCGCTACTGAAAGGCACAGATCAAGCGCTAACGAGAAATTAGGATGAAAAAAGCACTCAGAACATTTCCCACTAAGCAGGCATTGAAGATATTAAATCAGTACAATCATAACTGCACAAAATAATGATCATTGCTTATCCTAATAATAAACAGAACCTTTCCTGACTAGGACTAAACCAAGCATTCCTAGCCATAGATTGCCACGTGCTATTTTCTTTCCCAGTCGAGAGGCAAAATTGCTTTAACAATCTTAATTGAGCGGCCACATTTTAACAGGGCTCTTTAACATTTAAGGTGAGTGAACATCTTCAAACGGTAAAAAAATTATTTTTTCTCTAATTGATGGGAAAGAGTTCGGAACTCGATAGTATTAGGGTCTTCAATGCAGAGTCGGATTTTTCTTATTCCACTCACCGTAATGACAAATACCTAGCATGTTTTAGTGTAGCACCATTGCAGGGATTGGCCAGAGCATGAACTACCTTTCTTGTTAAACTAGGTTGAATAACGAAGAGTGGATAATGTTTTTTTTTTGTTCAGGTATTAGTCGACTCGTGGAGGAAGGAGTATTTACAGCAGCGTATCCTCTTCATGTGGTGAGCGTGGTAGCATAGGAAATGACAGATGAAGTGGCTTTTAAGTTCATGTAACTCAGTTGTCATACACATATAGTGATGAAGACCACGAGATGAAGCCAATTTGAAATTACCTAATCAATCTCGTCTGCCCACTGTAGCACAGTGACCCAAACACTACCAAATTTTTTCATCAATATCCACAGAATTGAATCTGCAGCACGGAAAATAAATCTGAAATTTAATCAATGAACTTTCCAGACTTCCTGCTCGTTCAGTATATGGCCCAAACTGCAGCCACTCTCTTTTGACATGTTATCTAATTACTCACAGGGCCCAGCAGAGCTGCCTTCAGATTGGAATAAGGCACCAGATGGACCAGAGGAGAGAAGACTAAGTCAGAGACAGGTAAGCTATATCTAAATACAACCTCAGAACTCTACCCAGCATCTGCTTGATACTCAACTGGCGTAGAAAATCACACGAAAGCGATTCATTGTCAAACCTCGATAGACCGGAGTGAGTAATTGACAATCCTTCGAATACAGGCAGAGCTGTCTGTTCATCTTAAAGCGAGTATGAAAGTCTGGTACGTGTGCCGGCCCGCTTTATAAAAGCTTTACAGTAACTTAGACAGCCATGTTGTTCAAGATCATGATGACAAATCTTTTGGCCGCGGGTTCTAAAACTCAAGCAAGGTTGGCACGGCAGTGTAATCAAAATTCTGTAAGTCAAACGAATGTATGCGACCTCAAATCACGAGAACAAGATCAAAGGTAGTACCCTTTTTTCAGATCTTCGTCATCTTTTTTTTTAACTCTCTTCGAGTCTTTCCAAAATGACAGAGCAACTTCACATAAGTCATATGCTTTTTTTGTGTCAGATACTTAAAGAATACTGGGCACGATGGGGAAAGTGGCTGAAATATCAACCACTTGATCACGTCAGAGAATACTTTGGAGAGAAGATCGGCATTTACTTCGGTTGGCTTGGTAAGTAATGACTTCTTAACATCGTGTTGATCATTTTATCGCCAAAAACTGAAAAACGTTCTCATTTACCAAATTTTTTCACACGTGTACTTCAACCCATCTAAATTTTGCTCCTTATCTAGCTAGCTGTCCATAACCACTCTATATTGCACCCGCTTCCCTAGCTCACTACTTACCTCCTACACGTACCATCTTTGGCTGTCCCCTATCACACTTCCCTCCCTCTCTCTCCCCTCCAACCACCGGACAGCCCCCAGTGTTACCCACAACCACAACATGTAACCCACCTATACGATGGTCACCCCCATCTTTTTTTTTTTTTTTTTTTGGAGTTTTTTAATGCACATGCTTTACATTTCTAACAGGGCAATACACAGCATGGCTGATACCACCCTCCTTTGTTGGGCTACTTGTTTTCCTTTACGGTTATCTGACAATAGATAGTAGTCAGAACACGGCGTAAGTAGGAAAGGATTAGCAATGCTAGCCACAATAAATCACAAACAATATATAACTTCTTACTTACCATGGCCATTTTCTAAGGTCTTAGATGAAAGTTCTTTCCTCTTCTTTTTAAAATAATCCGACCCCACTGCCACTCTCTGAAATCTCAAATTTACAAACTGTTTTGCCTCGTTACTAATTTAATTTAATGACCACAACAAGAATAAGTTTAAAAAAATCTCCTATGTTCAGTGATTGCCGAGCAAACCGAGTTTTACTTAGGGTTGCACATGTTTCAATAATTGAATATTTCCATCTTTTGTGTCCTTTACCGTGACTCCTTATCAGGTGTTTTGCGATGAAAAATACTTCTTTTAGGGTTTTTGTTATTTTCTGAGTGATTTTACCTTTCAGTTCATAAATCGTTAATACATTTTAAAACGTGCTTCACAGGCTTGAGATCTGTAACAGCGCGAACTGGACATTTGTAATGTGTCCACTGTGTGAAGAAGAACTGGGCTGCAAAGCGTGGGACTTGAAATTAAGTTGCTCCCGAGCGAGGGTAAGAGGGGGTTTTTGTATCAAATGCATATCGTAGCGTTACTGAAAGACTAGATTTATGGTCTCTAAATATTGGTAACCTTGTGGTAACCTTTTGGCGCGATGCCCGGAATACTGAAAAGGTTAGACTTCGAAAATTTCTACATGCAAAAAAAGGTCGTATTTACGACACAAAGGTCGGCACAAACAATCAAGCTGTTTTGTTACTTCTGTTATTGTTGTGTTTTGATTGGCTTTTTAAGTCTTCCGGCCCCATTTTGCAATTGAGCGGCATTCGGGGAAAGTTTTTGAACGCGATTGGAGCATTCTGAGTTAATCCTCTACCAACCAGTGAGTATAATGGAGAGATATATGCTTCAATTATCGATGAGTTATTTATTTATAATTCGTTTTCTTTTTCAAGACATCGTACTTATTTGATAATCCAGCCACAGTGGGTTATGCCCTTTTCGTTGCTTTCTGGGGTAAGTTCATTTTTTCGTTGGTATACATTATTTATTATAACATAAATCTAATAAAATTACTTAAAGACCTGTAATATACACAAACAGCAGCAAACCATTATAATAATTATAAATTTTTTAGCCAGTGACTAAAGGACACACATTGTCAGTTAAGTGCGTGTGAACGCTCACTTTCTTATCCATCTTGTGTGCCGATTGTTTTGCAGCTGTGTTTTTCCTGGAGTACTGGAAACGAAAGGAAATCACTTTGGCCTATCAATGGGATGTGCTGGGCTTTGAAGAAGAAGAGGTACTTTATATGAGGCTGAATGATTTTTTTATGTATTCGATAACGTGTTTGAAAAACCATTTGTCTAATTTTGTTATATGGAATGTGAAAACCCTAAATAAAATGGATCAGAGAAGCTCAACGGCTATCTTACCAAGAATAATTAATGAGATGCTATTTTTGAACAACTAGCAATCAGCCTTACGTTTAGGACTATCTTTTATCATGCTTTCTAACATGTTTGACTGTTTTATCTTTTTCTAGGAAAGACCTCGACCCACCTTTGCAGCATTAGCTCCGGCTGTGGAGAGGAATCCTGTAACAGGGCTTTTAGAACCACACTTTCCCGAAGAAAAGCGATTCCCAAGAATCGTTTCAGGAATTGCCATTGTTATCTGTATGGTAAGAAAACAAGAGAAAAAAGAGTAAGATGAAACCCTTTGAGACAAATTTCACATGAAATGGAAGTTTTCATTGAGCCAGTGAATTCAGTGACAAGCTGCTCATAATCGAACTCTTCATTAAATTGATTGCTATTAATTCAAAGGAAGTCGTGGTCGTAATTCTAAAAATCAGCCCAGCGCCACTCACTTAACCGAAATAAAATTACTCGTCCAATTTCTCTCCGAGGTTCTTCTCTGAGTCTTTTTACCTTTACTCAAAGGCGAATCTAGTGAGTGAAGTAATGTGTCACCTCTTGAACTGAACCAGATGATTCCAAACGTCGTTGACTTTTTTCAGAAAATGCCAAAAAATATCAAATGTACAAGAAACCAAGTTCGCTTACCTGGATAGTTTAGAGATCTACCCACTCCTAATTCCACTACCCGCACTTAAAAGATGATACGTTTTCCGACAGGTTTCCCTCGTGGTATTGTTCATGGTCGGAGTTATCGTATACAAGCTGCTTGTGATTCATCCACTCTACGAGAACCCAAACTTTCAGGAGTATGCTTCAACTATTGTATCTGTGACAGGCTCAATCATGAATCTTATCATCATAATGATACTGAGCAAGGTAAGAAAAACAGGGAAAATGAGTCTTTCTAATTATTCAACCTTTCTACGAAATGCGTTTCATTTACTTTTTCATGTGAAGTGGTTATTTAAAAGACGTCTTTCTTGCTAGTTTTGTACACAGTAAACGTTTAGGAACTACACAATAAAACGCTTTTAACTAAGTCGTAAAAACAAAACCAGAGTAATAAAATCTGCCAATCACAAAAAAGGCACTTGTCGCAACAACCAATAAGAACTCAAATGAACAAAAACGTAAATAGCTTCAAGCACGGGAAAATGTGAGAGAGCAAGTCACAAATAGTTTGTTTCTACATCGGATTGGTTGCAAGGATGGCGCGACCTTTCTGGACCAGTTATAATGCATGGTAAGCTAAAACCAATGTATGAATTACTTAAACGTTCACTGTAATGCGGGTGCATCATTTAAAACCATTATAATCAAAATAGTCAAGCAGAGTAAGATAAAAAACCTTAAAGACCCAATCAGAACTCAACGAACTAAAGCGCGGGAAAACGCTGGTGAACAAGTCGTAGTTAGTTTTAAATTGGCATCTGATTGATTGAGAGAGTGGCGCGAGTTTTCTTGACCAATCACAGAGAGAAGGTAGTAAAACCAATGCAATTTAATTTACTTTCGACACTCATTTGAAAACTACACGAAATAGATTGCTGAATATTAAGAGTTTCTGTAGAAGTGCTCAACGATTGACGACTAGAAATGTAGTAACTGAAGAGAAACCCTTACTTGAACATAAATAATATTTTTTTTCACAAAGGTCTATGAAAAGTTAGCCTACGTTTTAAACCATTGGGGTGAGTTTTCTTTCTTGAATTTTAATATATTTGATATTTTATATATACCACAGTTCACCGGTTGAATGAGTACACTCCACGTGTCAAACTCAAAGTTAGTTGAAATCACTCTGCAGGTGTTTAGCTGCAGGGAAGAGAATGCAATGTTTAACTTCATATGAAGAGTGGATGGAATAACAAATATATTTCTATCTGCCCTAAGCATCTGAACCCTAAGAAAAATGCTAATTAATGGAAAATAAGTTGTAAGTACCAGCAACTGGCGAAGCAACTTGGACTACGGTTATTTGAGGTTAGCGAGCCGCCTCGGGTTGCCGTAACTCGGATTGACTCAAGCTCTGATTTGGCTCCAAAATAAGTTGACTATTCCTTCGTAATATCCACCCCAAAGAAAACAAATATATTCTTGTTTTTCTTCTTTTCCAGAGATGCATCGCACGCAAACGGAATACGAAGATAACTTAACATTCAAAGTGTTCGTGTTCCAGTTTATGAACTTCTTCGCTTCCATCTTCTACATAGCTTTTTTCAAGGGAAAGTAAGTTGCTAACTCAGATGCCCTTCATCTTGCTTCATTTTCATTTTTATTTTAATTCCTCGAATACACGAAATATATGAAACACTTAATGCTTACTTCTTTTGCTACTCTTTTCTTTTTAGACTTGTTGGTTATCCAGGAAATTATACAAAGATATTTGGCCTTAGAACAGAGCAGGTAAGATCAAAGAGCATCCCTCAACAACCAATCATATGATAAGCTACACGATACATGCTCTGATTTTGATTGGCTCTTGCCCATGATCTATTAAAGAACAGACCCATAGATGACTTCACCATTAACAACATTAAGTTTTATTATCATACAAAACGAATAAATTATATGTTGCCGTCGGTCTGTGCAGTAATAGATCTCAGAGGATGTCAAAATATGGTAAGAACATCGATGACACTCGGCTGCGCCTAGAGGCTCCCCACTTTTTTGTTTTTACAAAATTTTGACGTCATCTGTGATCTATTACTGGAAAGAATCACCGTAACATGGAATTTATAAGTTACATAGTAAGCTGTAAAGAGAAGTTATTAACAAAGGTGACAAAAATCGAAAGCAAAGATGATGGTGCTGTAGCAAAGGTTGGGGGCTCACTGAACGTGCACAATCTTGTGGCTTTTGTGTTAAGCATGTAACTGAATGTCTCTCTGGTTACTGTACACTGTGCTGGTTCCGGACTGAAATCCCTAACAAAAACATGTAACGAAATGTCTTGGGCTTCATGAATATTGTAAATAACCGTTATAAGTGAAAAGAACTTGAACCGTTAAGTTTGCCTAAATGACCAACTTTGTATGGTAGAAGACCGCATGAAAAAATCAAACATACGATAGTTCCCTGTTACTTCTCGTATTTATTTGAAACATGTCTTAATTTGAGGTGAGGGAGCAATTTTATTGAGTTAAAACTAGTCTGAAGTACTTTGTCATCTTGCATTTACAGTGCAGTCCCGGTGGATGTCTGATGGAGTTGGCTCAACAGCTGTCAGTTATCATGATTGGCAAGCAAGTCATCGGCAATGTACAGGAAGTCCTTGTGCCGTAAGTTTTCAGCCGAACACAAATTGGTTGAGCTTATTCAGTGCTTAATCGTTTCTATCCCATTGTTAACATCATTATACCCATTTATTTATTCCATTTTCCTTTGGCTCAGTGAAATAAAAAAGTTCATGAAGAAGAGAAAAATGGGAGTGACCGGAAATGAGGTGAAGCCGCGCTGGGAACTGGATTATGATTTACTGGAAAACGAAGGCTTGTTTGGAGAATACCTGGAAATGGGTAAGGCCAGAAACCTTTTGGTTGTTGAACGATCTTCAAATGCGGACAAGAGTCTAGTATGAAAATTTACTATCAGTGAATTTGATTGGTCTATTTGTGGACTACTGTCTGTATGGTTTTAGATCCTAATAACTGTGGTTTCAATAGGTAGATCTCGACCAATATAGATGCAAATCTGATTTACCAGGCTATGACCGTTTTCAATCACTTTGTATTCGTTTTGATCGTTAAATAGCAATAAAGTAAGGTAAATCGGGTTTGTGAAACCAGCAAAGAAACATTTAATAAAACCAGCAAACAAACGTAATTTTTTTTCACTTATTTTTTTCCAGTCATCCAGTTTGGTTTCGTTACAATCTTTGTGGCTGCCTTTCCTCTGGCTCCGTTCTTCGCTCTCGCCAACAACATCTTTGAGATTCGCATTGACTCAGACAAGATGGTGTGCGATTTGCGGCGTCCTGTGGCACATAGAGCACAGGACATTGGAATCTGGTTCAGTATGTTATCAGCGATAGCGAAAATGGCTGTCATCAGTAATGTAAGTACAGCTGCAATGGTTGTAGTGGATCGATAATTCGTGCAGTGACTTATCATGACCGGAAGTAACATTGGAGCTACAAAACATTCTAAATACTTAACAAGCATCCTAGTAAATCACGTTTTTAATTTGCAGAAAAACTAAAAAAAAAAACTCAAAAACAAATAACTCTGAAAAGTCATGCTTGTTTCACGCTTTAGGCGAGTGAAGAACCCACTTCCTAGAGAATTATACGTTCGGAGATATTGAAGTGTTTGTAATGAGATTACAATAAACCAGTTACTCTTGTTTAATCTAAACTAGATTAAATAGTTAAAAAACAGAATGATTATTTGATAGACATACAGATATTTCTGGCCACATGCTACCTTCAAACTCAGAGCGACCCCACTAAAGACTAAAAAGAGTTAGAATGCTAAGGCATAATACTTCTTGTTTCTCTTTACTTTTTCAAAGGCTTTCCTTATAGCATTCACCTCGCAATTTTTGCCAAAATTGTTGTACAGAGCTTCTGTATCACCAGATGGCTCCCTTCACGGCTACACTAACTACAGCCTTGCCTGGGCGCCACCCAACTCCACATCAGTACCCTGCAGGTAACCACAAACCCTAAATTTTTCATAAATTTTTAACAAGATACAGTAGAAGAAAAAGTCAACCACAGGTCCCTAACGGCCAAGAGATGCTTATCATGTCCACCACAAAACGTGATGAAAATTCTGGTCGGCATGTACTGGTTGATATGTACTACAATCTCTTTCTAAAAGAAAAAGTCACCAGGAACACATCAAAACTAAACCCGAGCAAACCAATCCAAACGTGTTAAGAGCATGATATTTATCAAATGACCGGAAAGTGTTCACTACATAGAGACCAGATCTCGGCTAAACAGCCTGTCTGTTACAATTTCTGGACGTTAAAATGACAAGTTATAAGCCGTAGTAAGTTATGGACGTTGGCACCATCAGGTCGTTCTGAAATCCACAGCGAAATGAATGTCACATGGTCACCAAAACGATCTTCTACTTACTGTACAAAGTATTCGAGGAAGATTTTCCAATCCTTGAACAGATCCTTCCTCTGCGCTATGACTTACGCTAAAATATTTCGTTTAATTTTTGGAAAGAACAAGGGATTCTCTTGGTCGTTTGGAAGCACCTGAAACTAAAATACACGTGATAATTCACGTTTATTATCATACACACGACATACACGTAATACACGCAATGCTTAATGACCGAGTGGGAGCGCCGCTCAGAGAAGCATTGGCTCGAGGTAATAACCGAGAGCCATAATTTTCCCGTCTGCTTCGACCTACTGTAAGTCAGTCAATAAGAGCCACTCTTTCTCTTTCTGCTTTCTCGCACCTTGTATCCTTCATCACGCGGGGCCGTAGCCTTTTCCCAGCCCTGCTTGCGCTATTGCATGCGGCCCTCATCCGGGGATCTGTTCACATTGGTATTCAGTGAAGGCGTTGGGGCCGAAGTTGTTGTATGATAAAGGAAGTGAGTGATTAGTTTCAAACGAGAAAAAAATGATGGGTCATCATAGTCGTTAGCAACTCCATTCGCAATGTTTTAATGTTCATCCCAATTTCGTCTAAAATTCGCCGCAGCTCCGATTTCTTACTTGGCATGATCTTGTTCATAAGAATCCGCAAATTTAACTCGATAAATAAAAAAGCGACTCAAACCGAACATGGTATGAAATCTAAGGAAACTATATTTAAGACAAACATCAGCCATAAGAATTGCTCGAGGCTAAACCGTTATTGTGCAATTGATTGAGAAAAACATTCGTACCTTTCAAGACATTTTCTGTTTGAAAGCTTTTAATCGTAATCCGAATAATGGATCATTCAAACATGGGAGGCGAATACCATAATGAAGAAAATATTGTGGACACAAGTCTGCCTTCGGAGCTGCAACCCAAACGTTCCTACAACATCTATTGTGCACGATATATATTACTGGCGCATACACCTGAGTTCCTTGAAAATATTGTCTTACGTTAGCGGGTGATTTGTCAAATATTTATCGGGAATGTTACGTAAATTGCAAGCTTTGATCTTGAAAAATAAAACTTTAACAGGATTCACCAAGTCTTAATGGTTGGTTAAATTCAATCATAAATATTTCATAACATCGATCTGCAAAAGTCGAATTAATTTATTGGATCCTGTCGAGTCTTTTAATAACTCTACCATATCTCCACAGGTATATCGAATTTAATAATCCTGATGGTAGTCCGAGCAAATTTTATTGGCATTTGGTGACATTAAAGCTGGGGTTTGTTATTTTATTCGAGGTGAGTTGAACTAATTAATCACCAAGAGATTGCAACTTCTAATTATTTTGATGTTTCAACCCTCGGGCTTCATTCCAAGTGTGTATCTTTGCACGTTTACTCCAAGATGTTCCCTTCGCGTCCATTGCTTGAGAACGCTTTTCTCATGAACAAGGGGGAGCGTGTTCCGAACGCTCAAATCTTCAAACTCATGAAAACGAAACTGTTTACGAGAAAAGGAACGAATCTGTCTCCACAAATCACACACGCAGGTTACAAATAGCTGCCAAGTTACACTTTCTGTAACTTTCTCGAACGTCCTTCCGATATCAAATGATTTTCGTTTGATTACTGGACTTTACATCAGTCATAGTAGGTAGGGAAGTGGGTTGAACCAATGACCAGCGCCCTGCACCCTGCGTCAAGCATTTCGTGCCAAGTGCAGGCTTCAGTCATTTTCCGAGCTAAAAAAAAATCGGTCAGCAGGCAAGGAGCTGACAGCGGAAGGCCTGAATTATTTTCTTATTTCCCCCTCGCCGGCCCTTTATCCTCTGATCAAGGCTTAAAAGAACTTAAGAGGCCATGTGTTATGTTCTCGGACTGGGCATTTCAAACAATGACTCTACCCCAAAGAGAATCTCGCAAATAAGCTAGGTGGAATTCCTGTGATGACCAAACACCCCAACCAAGGATAGAAGCAATTTCACATGGTGTACTGCCCTGATACCGCGCGAAAAACTACGGTTGGAGTAGGTCGCTGGATTAGTTTTCGCTTCCTTTTACCGAAACTCTATTTCTGTCTCTTTTCCGACAGCATTTTGTGTTCTCCGTATCGTGGCTCATTGACATGCTTGTACCTGATATACCAGCTGGCCTGGACCAAGCCATCAAAAGAGAAGCGTACCAGGCTAAGCAGATCATGTCTGACAATCACGGACTCATGGGAGGATTGCCTTCTTCTGATGACTACATGCTGGAACTTGAAACATGACACTACCATCATAGGCTCTTTTAAATTTCGCCTGCTTTACGCAACGTAATGCATAACCAGTTCAATAAATTAATACAACGTACAAACAAATCAAATACGTTTCGCTCAAGTAATATTTATTCTCAGGAGGGCGATCATATCATTTCTTCGGCAAGATTGCCGCCGTCTCAGAATAGAAGCTACGTATTGATCCAAAAAAAGATAACGTATATCAATTTAATGCCAAACGTCAGATTAGAGATGATATAAACGGAGAAATGAATGCCACCTAGGAATCTTACTGTAAGGCAAACGGCTGACTGTCATTGTATGCCACCACAACCACCTTGGTGAAGATCATTCATGAAATTAGATGCATTAGGTTCGTTAATCCGCTGGTTTTGTCGAAAGGCTGTTTCTCACGTTCTAAACCACAAATGGTATTTAATATTGAAGTTACACTTTCTTTTATCTGCCAAACGTCCGCGATTAAAAAAAGAAAATACGGCCAAAAAAATATTCTGAATCGCCTGAAGATCAAAAGAAGAACGAAAATATTTTTGAACAATTGTAAATACATTACGTCTTCATGGGACCTTCAGAGCTTGAAAATACTGTATAATGAAATCATGAATTTACAATTTTGACCTTCTGAGTAAATAAAATATTAAATGAAACAAATTCGCGTGGAAGTTTCCCTTTAAAAGTAGATGCTTCACGCCCGTTATTTTTAAGACCTACAGCAAGATGTGTTTGCTTGTTTTTGTTGTTTTTTTAATAGTCTTTGGCTTTGAAATAAGCTGATATTTAGGAGGAACACAGGAAGCAGAAATATCTTGCCGTGGAAAGAAAGATCAAACATAAACCTGATGGGTGATAACAGCCTAAAGTTACAATTCCGCACAGCGTAGGGACAACCAGGGAATGACATGGAATTTGTTTGGGCTAGATGTTTATTCAACAAAATTACCGAATATTCAATTAACACAAATACTGGCTTTCACCTCTGTTCGCCCATCGGCTTCACTTGAATAAATTATCGCTAACTTTAATTTGAAAAGCAGTAAAATTTTCTGTTTAGTACGTGTTGGAAGAGGCTTCGTCGATGTATGCGAAAGCATGGAAGTAAACAGAATGGAAACAAATCTAGTTCAAGTACGATTTTTTTAATAGAGAAACGAAATATCTATTTGAGTCTGTCGATGTAAATGTCGCTCGAAGCAGCTGTCAGACTTACAATGTAAGAGCAGGTATATTCTTCACTCTGATTGGTTGAGACCGGGAGCGGGGGCTTCTATTTTGATTCCTAGTGAATTTCTCGCGAACTGATTTGAATTTCTCGCTGAAGGAGGTGATCTTTAATATTCTGAACTTATGTGACACAAAAAACAATCCGTTCTGGTCAACGGTTCCGTACGATTATATATTATCTGGTTTGTGATGTCTCGATGGAGGATTTTTGCAATTGCGAGCGACATTTAAGGCGTAAAAATTGACAAAGCATTTCTGAGGAGCCATGCCTAGGTCTTACAACAAGATGGACGACACCGACCCTCTGGCCGCGAATGAGTCTCTGGTATTTACATTTTTTCGTTTTATGTGTAAACCTTGTAGCTTAAATTTAAGGTTAATTTTTATTTGGTTTTTCTAAAAAATCCGCTTTGCTCTTTAATGTGCCTCTGCATCTCGAATCCTTACTCAAGCAACCAGTCCCCCTAATTGACATCCATCGCATCCATATTGTATCATGCGAGAAAATTTGTCAGAAATGCGGTCGCAATTTTTTCATCGAATCATCCAAGCTAAAATCATATAACAACGTCATCAGAAGGTACGGAGAAGGTAAAGAAAATTAATCGTGAATTATAACCTTTTCAGTTAAGACAGGTTGTGTGATTGAAAACTTGCTGCTTTCAAAATATACGATTATAAACTTCAATTTCGGCTGTTGTTTCGATTCTCTCCTTCCGTCTTCTGAAGTAAGATAAAATTAACGCAGAAATCTTCTCAAAGTTGCCCACGAAAAGTCGTTTTCTTTCTTCAAATGCGGTGATTTCGATTCGATCAAAGATCGACCTAGCGAAAAGTGAAAGTTATTAAAAATGAATGAAAGCGGGCGTCATGACCGATTTATCATGAGGATATTTTAAATTTCGGTGATATTTTTTTGGCTCTTCTTTCATTGACTTCATCATGTTGGACCGTCGACTTTCTGTTCTTTGGCATAATATTTATTTTTTTCAACACAATCGACAAATTTCTGCTAAGCAGCTTCAAGGAACTAGCTAGAAAACATGTTTATGCAAAGTATAATTACAATGCGGAAAAAAAGGACGGAGTAACGTTAAGGACGGGGAATTCAAACGAAGGAAAAAAACTCGAAAATAATTTGCAAAAGGTACCGTTTGCGCATAGGTACTAACTGAATAATGGCTAGCAGCAAGTTACTTGGAATTTAAACTGGAGATGCGCATTCGCAACAATTGAATCACCGTTTTGTTTTGAAATGAAATTCAGTGATTTTTTTTCCCGCGTGTTTTCGTGCTTCGAAAATTTCACCTACAATCCCCGAGGGCTACTTAATTACAAATGAAAGCATCGTCAGGTCGACCTCGCTAAAATCTTAAACCTTTTTACATGTGGCTGTTTGTTTCTCTATGGAAACAAAAGCCTCTTCAAAGGCACGAGCCCAACCAGCACGCAGTATTGCGAAGATTAATTATACCCAACATGGAGCCAGTGCATACTGCTACCAGGCCATGAAAAAGAAAACGGGAAAACGAATTTAAATGCCACTTCAGCTTTTTTCTACGCCTCGATGCTACAATTGTTTGTTCAGTTCTCTAAAGAAAGCGTAGCAATTTGCATATGTAGGGTGCTTTCCGTGGTACATGTTTGTATAGATTTAAACAGCGCTGAGGTTTTGTTTATTTTGCTATTATTTTCTGACAACAAAGATACTTGGACGTGTGTTATAGCGAACATTAAAGACACTCGCACGGATTTTAAACGAAATTCATATTTCGCTGACGATGAAATTCTGCCACCTATACGTTTTTTCCCTTTTATTCTTAATCCCTGTCACAAAAATTCTAATTATGATTGAGAATTAAGGCGGTGGTTTTCAATCGTCTCAGTTAGAGTAAGCAACGTGAAAAGGATTGCAATTACTAACACGGCATGCAGTGTATAAAAACAATTAGCACTAATTTTTGAGCACCAAATTTCCAACTGAATATACTTCAGTTTAAAAGAGAAATTAAAACAGAAAAGTTCCTCGGTAGTTTTTTTTTCCTTTTTCGTAACAAAAATAAAATAACTATTTTAATAAGTGAGCCGTTTCATAGGCGACAGAGGTATTCAAAAACGCATACCTTAATCTGTTATTCTCTGTGTATTTAAAGCTTTATATGTACTTACGAATAACACAACCCTAACTTCTAATCAGACTAATTTCCAAGAACTTCAAAGAACCTTCTAGTATAAATGAAACAAGTCACCCAAGTGTTATTCTACCAAAAGATTTACATAATCGTAAGTTTTTGACATCTCAAGCAGGGACCATGCAGGTTTTAATAATAATAATAGTACGACTGCACAGGAGTTGGGTCACATAACCGAATTAATGATATGGTTGATGACCATGGTTGTGTGGGATGTAGATCATTATTGGATAAGAGCAAATATTCCAAGAGAGTGGATACCTCCGATCATTACTACAAAAATATATATTTATCAGAAATAAGCATGTAACACAACAAACAGAAAAGATGTCGTGGCTGGATTCCTCCTTTGGAGAAGTATTTTTTTAAAGAGTCTTTGGATTTACAACAACTTTGTAACGAGAAGCAACAATTAAATTAAGGGAGACAAACTAAAATGATAATTCCTCTTTTTCTTTTACCAATATTTTTTGTTCAACAATAAAAGTAGGTTTCACAAAACCTTGTTCTAGTTCAACTCTACAATCAGCCTGCAATCAAACAAGCCAACAAAATTCTAAAAAAACTAAATGATATTTCAAATTAACTGTGATGAACTTGGGACCCAAAAGGGCTTTTAGGATACCACGAATAATTTATCACAGTCATCATGTGCATGTGCAGAAAGGATGGCAAAATAATGTTAAGGGTTTGAGTTTACTCAAAAGCAATTCATTAAAAAGGTATTCTGGTTGTACTGATTGTCCTAAACCTCGAAATAGCTTTAATGATAGAGAAAAGCCTGTCAGCAAACCTGTCTTAAGGAAAAACTGGAATAACAAAAAATGAATAACTCCTATGTCAAAACACATAGACAAAAGTGCTACTACAGATTTTAGGATAACCTACTGTTATTAGCAGTGCTTATACAGTTTCCATGGAGTTTTTTTAAAATACATAAATTTTGGAAATTAAACATGCATAACACAAGTCAAAAGCTAGAGGCTGTGTTCCAACACCTCTTATTCACACTTTGCATGTAATTCAATTGAAATCACAGAATGAAAACTACTCAGTAGAAACATTTGTGACAAATAAACCACACTGAACATGTTTTACTTCACACACTAATTACTTTAGGAATCAAAATAATTCAAATGACTATATTTTTTTCTGGTTAACACCAGGTGTTAATGTTAGCACATCACACTGTACTAAACTTGACAAATGTTTTATTTACTCATTCTCCTTCATAAGCCCAAAAGAATTGTGGATTTCTTTAAAGAAAACTCTGGAATGAGGACAAATGAACCTAACCAATACTTAAAATACAAAATACAATGGGGAGCCGGTTTTTTCAAATCTAGGTTAAGATAATCTTGGATTAGTGTGAAATCTGATTTCAGATCTGGAAGCCTTGGAAGAAAATTCAGTATCACTCTTGTTGTCTTTAATTTGATTACTGGATGCTCTACAGGGAACAGAGAAATTGTCCCCATGAACAAAGGAATAAAAGAATCTGGATTATAATTTGACTTAAGGTTTATAGCACTAATCAGCCTTCAATAAACTGGGCCCTGATCTGGAACACCACTACTTACACCATGGAAAATAACAACAAAAGTTTTGTATCTTTGAGGAAAGTTTGACAGGTACAAAACACAAATCACTTTCAAATCCATGCTAGCAAACATTTATACTTGTGAAATAAACAAGAATATCAACTTATCTATATTGTTAGGCGAATAATGTAGGTAGTTCTTCCATTGCTTTATTAAACATCCAATCTTGTTTCACTAAAACAGTATTGAAACTCACCATAAGGGACTTAATAATTTATGTTGACTCAGATTTCTTGTTACAATCATAATGAAAAATCAGAAAGCCAGGTTCAACCTTACTGCAGTTGTTTGTTTAGAGTGGAGCAAATCATTTTGCCAAAAGTACAATTTATGCCCAACACCAACCTTAAAGAAGTCAAATCTGATGATTGATGATACTTCAAACTGTAGATCTCAGCATAATGATTGATGATTTGTTTGTTAAAGTACTAAAAAAACCACAAAAGGTACTACCACACCCCTTATAAGCAAACTGTTAAACAATTCACAAATCTTAAGTTATCCATTTCCAGCCTCTCAAACATACCTCATAAATTAGATAGTAAAAATTCTTAACAATTGACTTTACCAAAATATACTACTGCAGATATTTATGATCATTGAACAATAAAAATAATTATTTTCTCTTTTTTTATTTAAATAAACTTAAAATTCCAAAGCTAAGGATACATTTTAGTTTTACTTGCATTAAAAAATGAAAGAAAATCGTGTTTACAAATACCTGTATTTTGAGAGAAAAATGCATAAATTTGGTCTTTGTTCAGTTAAAAAAACAGCTATGAATTTTTAGAAGAGTAAACTAAATTACAAATGTCAAGGTCATTTGCTATTTTGTTTACAGATTAAGTCACAATAAAAGAACAACAATGTTATAATCTCTGCTCGAATCATTTCAAAGCAAAAGAAAAGCATGCAATTGAAACTCACCTAGTCAGAAGAAATGTCTACAAAAGTTTAGACTTCAAGGAAAAAATCAAAAGTACACAAAATTCAAAATAAACATTTGTGTTAAGACCTGTGTTAGGATTGTTATGCCATGATTTCAATGAAGCCTTAGACTTTTGACTTTTACCAATTACTAACTAAAGGTAGCAGGTACCACCTGTTATTGAGATGACAACAAATTACTATGCTTGAATTTTGACATGTACTCTTAGTTTGCTTTACAGTTTGAATAAAGAGCACATTACAGCAATTCCCTTTCAACTGGTACAAAATATATTCTGAAATTTTTTTGGATGTGACACATTTTCTCCAGTACATAAAATTCAGTTAGCTGAGATTGTAATAAGAGGTAATTTCATCAAAATAAAATTCCTCAAACTTGTTCAAATACTATTTTGATGTTAGAATGTCAAACAAACACTGATTTGTCACAAACTTAACACTGATTTGTCAATAAGGCACAAAACAGTGGATCCTACTGAGAGAAAGTCAGCTTCAAGTGATTTTGTCTGAGATAGAACAATATCCTAGAGCCTTTGGAGAGAAAAACAAAAACAAAAACAGCAAAGTTATAGTGCAATCAACTTAGAAACAAAAATGGAAACTGAGGATCAGAATGAGAAAAATAAGGAAGACAATAAGGCAGATCAACAGGTATTTTTAACTGTTAATGACAGAATGAAGACAGGTTTTATTCATCGCAAATCCCCCGATCATAAAATCAAAAGTTTCATCGTTCAGAATTTCCAGTGTGACAGATTTATGAGCCTTCTTATACTATAGCATTAGCACAATAACTGATTAAAAAAGATTAAAACTGAAGAGGGAACATTCTAAGTGAACAATATTTATCTTAAAAAAACACCAGTGACAATAATTTTATCACCACCACTGTATAACAAACTCGTGTTTAGGACCTTTGTTTCACTGACAACAGGTTTTAGCAGCAGTTCAAACTAATCTACACAAGAGTAATAACACACCTTAAAACTACTTCAAATATTCATAAGATTATCATTAAATATGGTACAAGAGCATAAAGGGGGTAAGTTTCTGAAGAAACTGTGTTGCAGCTTCAGTGGGGGGTATTACAACTGAGTTGATAATGAAAATTTGCTACCAGAGAGATTTTCTAAAGCTGACATTTCAAGCATTTGCCCTTGCCAGAGCTTTGAAAAAACATCAGCTTTTGAAACTCTCTACCATGGCCAATTTACATTATCAACTCAGTTGATAAAATCAAATGGGAAACCACCTCTTTATAGCAAGAGGCAGACATATGTCACACAATCTCTTAAGATATCCAATGCAATCACACATTTACTCATGAAATACCAACTGAATTTAAATGGAATCAGTAGATCATTGACGATTTTCAAAGTAAATCATAATTTTTAATGAATTTCAACATTTTTCATTATTCCTCAACCTGGAGACCTATTCAAGTTATTCATAACTATTGACCACAATTCCCACAAAAAATTCAACACAGCAGCCAAGGCCATCTCTTATTATGAAATACCTGAGATAATACTAGAGCCCTGATGATTCAAAACCTATCACATATTGCACCAGTAAACCCATAGTTATTTTATAAAAGTAATAGACCACACTTTCTATTGATTTACCAGTGGGATGACAAGAGAATATGGGAAAATGTTTTAAATTACAAACCAGAGACAACTGACTCACAAACCTTTAGGTCTATTGCTTAAATAACATTATCATTCCACTATTATGTCATATTACCATTTAAGGGAAATGGAACACACAAAATATGCCTAGGTAATGCAATGTAGAACAGGACAAAAACATGCGGACAAACCTCAAAGCCCACAATAATTTTTGAATCATGAACAACACTTAAATGGTTTCTTTGCATTGTTTTCTTTCACACACCCCTTATGTAATCTGTACAATACTCACATAAGACTGTGTGACATTTCAAAAACTAGAATCCAAAAGACAAGAAAATGAAATAGGTATAGCAGAATAATATTCAATGGTTTAACATATAATATGAGTAAACATTTCAATGCTCATTGCTCATATTTTTTTCCTTGCCCCCATGGGGCTTGGAAAATACCAAGCAACTCCCAATACATCTGTGCATATTAGGTATAATATTACACCATCAAACAAGGTGTATTTATTTTAGCTCAATTGAATTATTCAAATTTTATTTCCAGTCTATGACTGAGAATCACATCAACTACAGACAATCAAACCTTTTGCAAAATTGGTTATAATTACAGCCTAAAATAGTATACCAGTCTAATGTGCAAATTTGTCAGTAATTTTTAAGAATCAGTACCGGACGATGATAGTGTAGGTAGTGTAATTTAGTGTATGATGCTGACCACCTTAAGGAACTAACCTACATTTGAAGCATTCATTACAGGAAAATACTCATTACAATAAGGCTAAATTTCATCAATTACCATCTCCAATTTAGAAAGATTCCTCATAAGTATTGAATGCAGATAGAGCAAGTTTCCATTTCAAAGAAGTACCATAATAACATTTTCATGTAAGATAATTCAAGAATTCAAAGGAGTGTCATTCCTAAAAGTCAATAAGTAATGTCTTTTGTTTTAGCAGTTGAAAACTGACCAAAACACCATTTAAAACAAAATTAATGTGATCAAAACATGATCTGAGATGGAATTTACCGTTGCCCTTTGTCACTTATCCCTCTGCTTCCCAAGGTCAGGGTAACTTTAATTGTGGTGGCCTTTTTTACTTCTCTCTCTCTCTCTCTCCCCCTCTCATTTATCTTATTACTGAAGGCAAATCAGGCCTTTGATATTTATCTACACAAATGAAGCACTATTTGTACACAGGCAAACTCTGTCCGTAAACTTGAACAGCTCTTGAAAAATAATCATCATCATCACTGATAATAAATCCTCCTTCAATTAACAATTATAATGGGATTTTTTGATTGTCACTTTTCAGTCACATTCAGTATCCTATTTTTCTGGAATTACTTTTAATTCACGATCAACTATAACTGTTGTATTCAGAAATTCTGTGTAGTGCTAAGATCCTTTGGTATAAAAAGGCAACAGTTTTAATTCTCTTCTTTTTCTTCTCATCTTTCTTTCTAGGAAATGGCTTCTTATAATACTTTTGATCCAGCTTACAATGGAATTTACAAGGTTCTGTTCCCTAGCAACCATCTAAACACATTGACTGAGTTAAATTAACACAGTGTTAAAAAAATTCAAGGATTTCTGTGTAATTCAATGCACTGACAAAACTCTAATAGATTTACATGTACCACTAAATTGAGTATAAATTGCTCTGAAAACTGAACTTGATAATATCCTAAGGCACATGAATTCGTTATTACACAGGAAACAAATTAATCAAATAAATACACTAACCACTAGTAAAGGCTCTTAACCTTTCCCTGAAGAATGATAAACCTTTCAATTTTAAAAACATTGACCCTAGAGGTATTTCTCAAGTTCATGCAAAATTTTGTGTTTATAATCACTTGACTGTAGAATGTTCATTTTTGTTATACAAAATTAAATATGTCAAAAAAAACATACAGTAAAAGATTCACAAAATTACTTTTAGGAAACAAAAAGATTTTTTAGCTATTGCAGGATCCAAACAAAAACATGCAAGAGATTCACAAAATTACTTTTAGGAAATGAAAAGATTATTGAGTTATTTCAGGATCAAAACAAAAACATATTATAACATTTAGTTCTTTTAGCTTTTCATCAGTCTAATACCTGCTGTATACTTCTCACCATCTGACTTTCATTGAGTTTTGTTTATCATGCCATTCACCAAACATTTCTACTAATCTTTGAATTAGTAAGTTTCTAAAAAACTCCTAGTAACTTGAAGAAAACTCATCTCCATTCTCCCTTCACACACAGTAAATAAACCATACTTCTTTGAAACAGTTGACAATTCAAAAAATTTCCCATTCAGCAGGACGTTCCAAGAATCAACCATATGCACTGTCAATTTAGTCACCATTTTTTAAAACTTTTTCCTAATTAATTAATATACTAATTTAGTTAATTTATGACTTTACAAATCAAATATATAATTCCTCATTAAAATATAACATAACAGAATAACAAAAGTTAATTTCAAGTTTAATCTAGTTATAATAATTAAGTAATTAATGGCTGCTTAATATTATAAATTACTGCATGTAATGACTTAAAAAATTACATATTACATGTATTAGAGTTAAATAATAATTTTTCATGTAATGAGAGGCTCTGAGAGCAAAACTTATAACAATTAGCAGTTTCATTAGCTCCACCAAACCATATTTTTCACAGGTCTACTGGTACTCAAATTCATGTAGTTGCAGCAAAACATATTAGGTGTTGTAAGACCAGAGAACCCCAGAATCTGAGGATTTTTTGTGAATGCTACAAAGTGATATTTCAAGGCAAAAATGTCACTCAGTTTGAGTTGTAAAAACTGCATAAATAAGTCAATGAATTATTTTCAATGCAGAATTTTGATAATGATGAAGACATGAGTGGTGAGAGAGGTTGCTACTTCAAAGATGGCAAAAGAAGGATTGGTAAGCTGTCTAACTTTCTGACAAGAGTTTAAAATAATAAAATCCTTTTAGCAGTTTCACTCATGGGCCAGTAGTCAGCCATTCTCCCCGAGAAGCCATTCTCCCTGAGAAGCTGACCCCCACCTCCCTTTGAAAAAAAACCCCGACCCAGCCCCTCCCATTATGCAATCCTTGTTTCGTCTGATTTTAAGATGGTTACAAGTTACTGCTTGTTTTACAGACTTTGTGCTTGTCTATGAAGAAGAAGAGAAGGCGCCTCCACCTAAACATCTTGAGAAAAGACAAAAGTTTCTGGAAAATTTAGCCAAGTCTCAGCTAGAATTTGAAGAGGTACGACTTTGGTTAAATTCATTTTTAGTATAAGCAGTATGAGCCTTTAATTGAAGGATACAAAATTAAAACAAAGCTTGTAAATTGGTGTACACAAATCCTTTACCTGTGTAATATTAGCATTCCGAACGTAGCTAGTCGAGAGTTGTAGAGAGTAGTAATGGAAGAATGACGAAAGACTAACGTTCGAAACGTCAGCTTTGAAACTCTTAACCGGGGCCAATTCACGATATAAACTCAGTTTATAGTACCAAATTACCTTTGTATACCCTCCCACCGACGCAGTACCACAGTTTCTTTCGAAATTTACCCCCTTTAGTTACAGCGTCCTCTGCTTCCAAAATGTTTACCAAGTTTTCTTGAGACATAACGATTGGGCTTACACCACAGATTATGCCTTTTACATTGAGCACCAGGTTTCCCCTGCTATTCTTATTCAAGATGGCGGATGAACAGTGTAATAGAGTAGGAAAATATGTGTTGAAAAATTCCATGTTTAACCCATAGGAGGTGACTCAAGACAAGAAAGTCAAGTTACATTTTATCAAGTGTCATGCCCCATGGGAAGTGCTATTGTTCTATGCGGAGGAGCTAAACTTCAGAGCCCCGCTCGAGGTTAGAATCCACCTATCTTCATTTCTGTTTGCATTTCTTTTCAAGTAAGGATAAAAGGATGAGCTTTGGGAAATTGAATAGAGAGAGAGAATGTTTTAATGGCAAACTGTATAATCAGCTATTTATTTTTAACAAACGTTAACTTAAAGTGATTCTAAATTTGCTCTTTTTATCAATAGCTTCGCACAACGAAGAAGGTAAACTGGTCAGAAAGAATCTTAGAAAAGTTTCGCATACCAAACATCTTCAAGGATGATGTACCAGGCACACCCAATGATTACTTCACATGCACATTCCAAGCGAACAAGCTCAACAAGTAAGTTGGTCACCAAGCTGGACCATCACAATTTAACACGTTATAGTTTGCAGGAATTTTTTTTTACGAACAATCAACTCGTTACACGCTAACAACAGCATGCATATTCTCCAAACTTTCCTCCGCTCATTTCGTTTGGCATGAACAAGGAGAATTTTTCAAACAGTCTAGACCCTCTTTGGTTAGTGATCATTTCCTTTATTCTCATGACACTGATGTTTAATTCACATGTGATACTGTTAGGAGAAATTAGATGGCAGTCCCTCTTAGGAGTTAAAGGGTTGACATACTTTGCAAACTATGCCAAATGAAGAAATGATCCTTGCAGGTTAGCTGGGATATGGGCAATTGCAGAACGGAAAAACTTAAGGCTTCAGCAGGATTCAAACCAGTGCCTCCCAAGCACAAAATTTTGTGTGTAAACACAATCCCAGTTATATTATCTTATTTATATATGCCTATGTTCCAGGTCAAATTAGGTTCATGTTTTAATATTTTTTTTATAATTTCTGCCAGGTTTATTGGCCATGAAGATCAAGATAACTACTTTACAGAAACAGAAAGAACAAGAGTGGTAAGTAGCTGAGACTTTTCAGTTCACTTCAAATAACTGCAACATACACATACATGTATGTTTAATTGACCTCTAGATATCTCTTTCTCATAAGGTTCTCAAATGAATTGTGGCACATTTCATTTTAGCTATCCTATCTTACCAGTCAAGGCACAAAAACTTTTTAATTCCTTACACCCTAACACCAGTATGCATATTCTCCATACTGTTCTTTATATATTTCTTATGGTGCTGATTAGAAGAATTTGTTTAACAATCAAGAACTTTCAATTACTGTAGTTGATGATCATTTCCTTTACTCTTGTGACCTTAAAGTCTAATCCAGGGGTGATTTTGTAAGAAGAAGTTTGTTTCTAGTCACTCTTAGGGTCAAAGGGTTAAACTGGTGGTTTTGATTAGAATTTGTATTTTAGAGTTATGTTAATGACTATCATTGTAATAATGAATTTATACTTTTTGACTCCAAGTGGTGTATAGCAATAAAGGATATGGTAAGGATAGAGTTAATATCTCATAGTAAAATACTCTGCCTTTCTTTCCAGGTGTATGAAATTATGGAAACAGCTCCATTTGGCAAGAGGCAAAAAGGAGAAATTGGTAAGAATTACTTTTATGTGATCATAGAAGTAAAGACTGAGCAGGATCCTACACTTTCTGATGAGTTCTTAAATAGAATACCACCTGTGCTCTCAAGCATCATCTGGAATTATTATAATACTTTTTTTTAATATTATGCACAAAATTTAGGATATTAGGGAAGTAAGGATCAAGCTCAAGAATGTCTTTCAAAAGAACCAATCACTGTTCTCATAAATATGTTCTAAAGAAAGATAGTATGATAAGAAAGTGAATTATATTTTCTCAACAGGCATTAATCGTCTTGTTGAAGAAGGAGTTTTCAAGGCTGGGTATCCTCTTCATGTGGTAAGTTTATGTGTGACGTTTTTTGTCACCATTTTAGATAATTATTCATCTTTTTAAACTGAAAACATATGAAACTTTGCTCATTGCCAACAGTAAGGTGAAATATATTTTTGTCCAGAGAACTAGAAATTGACAGTGCTAATGGTATATAGAGCTGTCTTGTGGAAGTATCTGGGGATTTAATTGGCAATAGGTAATTTTCAGTCGTTTAATCAACCCTTTAACTCTCAAGATCTTATAGTTAATTCTTGCCTTCAGTTGCCACACATTTCCTTGTAAATTACTTACAATTATTTGATGTTAGATCAAGATAACAACTTCTTCTTGAAGAATTTGAGTATTCTCACTTCTGGGACTGAAGGGGTTAACTAAGTGTGCTATATCAGCCAAATTAAAAAATGCTATAAAGGACAATTGATGACTCACATAATTTTAGTACCACTCAGCTGCATAGTAAGTAATAAATACACATTTACACATTTTTTACACCAGGGACCTGCAGAGCTGCCAAAGGAATGGAAAGAAGGACCTGATGGACCTGAGGAAATCAAACTTAACAAAAGGCAGATCCTGAAAGAATACTGGGCACGGTGGGGAAAGTGGTTGAAGTATCAGCCTCTTGATCATATCAGGTTTGTAATACTACAATTAAATCATGTTTTTTGTTTAATTTGTATTTCTAGGGAGGGGGTACTCGAGAATTTTGTATCAGATGTTCTGCTTTGAGGTTTAAAATCTTAAATGTGTGTATACAAAAGATTTTTCATCATACCAAGAAACGAATATAACCCTTGCTACTTCATTAACACAAGTCAAATAGAGTTGTTCTTCAGAAGGAGCTCAATTAAGGAGTTAGTAAATAGAAATTGGAGAGATGGTAAGTTTTGAGCTCAGTAAAGAAATAAAGAAAGATATTTTCGTCTTGTCATGAACATGGGACAAAGAAAAAAGAGTCCCTGTGAGGAATGGAACCTCAGACCTTTGGATTCCATGCTCCGATGCTCTACCACTGAGCCTCAGAGACTCAACGGTGAGCAAGGTTTATTATGGAGTGTGAAATCCAAAGGTCTGAGGTTCAATTCCTCATGGGGACTCAGAATTTTTTCTTTGTGCCACACTTGTGACAAGACAAAAAACATCTTTCTTTATTTCTTTACCGAGCTCAAAACTTATCATCTCTCTAATTTCTATTTAAAAACATTATGTTATCAACATTGCTTATCCTAGCAGTATGCTGAACACGTGTCATATGAACTTCATAATCTACCTCACTCACAATTGAGTCTCTGTAACCCAGTGGTAGAGCATCAGAGCACAGTATCTGAAGCTCTGAGGTTCAATTCCTCATGGGAACTCATAATTTTTTCTTTGTTCCACACTCATGACAAGACGAAAAACATCTTTCTTTAATTAAGGAGTTGTTTGACTAATGTGCAGCTGCCAATACACCCGGTTCGTTAGTTATGAGATGTGATAAGTTATTTTACTATGCTGTCAAGTACACTATTCTTATATATAAATTTGTTGTTTATATTTCAGGGAATACTTTGGAGAGAAGATTGGTATCTATTTTGCTTGGCTAGGTAGGACTGTTTCCAATATTATCAAATCTCCAACACAAATCTGAAGTCTCAGAGCTTCCAAAAATTTTTAAAATTACAATTCAAATTAATTCAAGATTTTCAATTCTTGACCAATGGTGATGTTTAGGTCAGTACACAGCATGGCTTCTCATGCCATCATTTGTTGGACTGCTGGTGTTTCTGTATGGTGTCATAACCATGAATGGACCTGACAACAAACCTGCGTGAGTATCATTCAACCATTAACCTTTCACTGCCAAGATCTCTTGAGCCTTTACTCCCAGAAGTGACTAACATAAAACTTCTCCCTACAATATCCAAACATTCTTCTGCAAACAGGTAATGAGAATATTCAAACTTATCAGGTAGAAGCTGCTATCTTGATCTAGCACCAAGTTCTCATAACTAATTTACAGGAAAATGTGTGGCAGCTACATGGGATAATTAACAATCAGATCTTGGGAATTAAAGGGTTAAGTAATTCTCCTTGCTGTCTGCTATACATTTCTTATGATGTTATTTTGGAGAATTTTGTGTTGGATCAACTGATAAGTAAGTGTTTATTTTCAGCCTTGATGTGTGTAACAGTCCTCCAGGAACCTACATGATGTGTCCATTGTGTGATGAGTCCCTTGGGTGTCATCCAGTTGATCTTCACACAAGTTGTATGCTGGGCAAGGTGTGTGACTTCTCTGTTCATCAGAACTTGAACTTCTCTTTAACTTTTATGAATGAGGGAGTTCTGCATAGTCATCCTCTCCCCTTGGAGCATGCTGTCATTGGTGAAAATAAATAAATTATTTGTCAAGCTACTGATTGTATACCACTATTTTTTTCATGTTCTGTGACTCATATATGTTAGTGTTCATAAGGTCAATAAAATCAATATCTAACCAACATTTTTCTATTTCCATCCTGTCCACAGGTTTCGTACTTGTTTGACAATGCAGCCACAGTTTTCTTTGCTGTCTTTGTCTCCTTTTGGGGTAATTATCATCTAAAAAAGCCTCCCTAGAAGTTACTTCTATTAAATATGCTTGAGACAAAAACGTACAAATAGAAACATACGTGCTCTCTACATGTCTCACAATGAGCTTTCTTGTCCATCAAGTTTGGCTCCACCTGCGGCAGTGGTCAGAATTTTTTTCAAAAAGTAACTTTTGTCTGTGACTTGGACTTCTAATCTCATGGTTGTGGTTATTTTATTTTGAAGCGGTGTTTTTCTTGGAGTTTTGGAAGAGAAAAGAAATAACCCTGGCATATCACTGGGATGTACTAGAGTATGAGGAAGAGGAGGTAATGTAAACAAATGTTCCTACTGGAGGAAATATAATAGTTGTCGGTAAAATGTGGCCAACACTCACTGGTTTATAAAGGAGGTCACCGTCTATTCTCTTTTATACTGTAAATGAATTAAGGTAAAGTTTCTAAAGAAAATGTGGTGCTGGGTCGGTGGGGGATATGAAAAGATAAATGGGTTTTATCAGCTGGGTTGATTATGTAAACTGACCACAGTAAGGGTTCTAAATCGAGTTTGTTATAGTCTTTTGAAGACCTTTCCTAGAATTTATTCGCCTTGACATTGTTTCTTTCGTTTGTTCAGGAACGTCCACGGCCAACATTTGCAGCTTTAGCACCAACAGTAGAACGAAACCCAGTAACAGGAATACTTGAACCACATTTCCCTGATGAGAAGAGACAACCTCGAGTCTTCTCGGGAATAGCTATTGTTATTACTATGGTAAGATGTTAGTAATACTGGTTGATTAAGTATTGTCAATTGAGTTGATAACGTAAATTGGCCACCATAAAGAGTTTTAAAGCTGAAGTTTCGAGCGTTAGCCCTTCGTCAAAGCGAATGGAGGAATTGTGGGTTGTGTGTTAGTACTGTGCAAACGACTAACATAGTTTACCCTTAATTCGGCATCGCTCATTTTCTCGTTTAGACAGGCCCATTTGTCAAAATGTGAAGTGAATATAACGATGTTTAACTGGCGGCAGAATGACGGCACTCAATCGCATCTGATTGGCGGAGAATACCGCATCTTAGCTGTAATTTTTTTGGAGCATTTAGTAAGCATTGCCTGAAAGTACAGGCAATCGCTCCATTCCCGTACATGCTCCACCACACCATCTCTCTTACCGTCTCGGTAATGTTCGCATGCCTCTGTTTTTGATTTGGTTTGGTTTGGTTTGTCTTGTTTTCGCACGTAGTTGTCTGTTTTGTTGTCTGTTTTTCGCTTATTCAAAGTACACGTACTGATCTGGAGAAGTGGGAGTGCTAAGGTAATTATATTATGAATATTATGAGACCTATCTTCAATATTATTAACCATACTTACCTTTTTTGTTTGTTTGTTTGTTTTGTTTTTTGTTTTTTTTGTTTTTTTTGTTTTTGTTCTTTTTGATCAGGTTTCTCTAGTGTTGGTGTTCATGGTGGGAGTGATCGTCTATAAGCTATTGGTTTACCGACCGCTGGCTTCTAATCCATCCACCCGAGCCCGAGCTCAACAAATCGCTAACATCACTGGCGCATTTGTCAACTTGACAATCATCATGATCCTCAGCAGGGTGGGTACAGTCTATCACATACTGCTAGTCACTGTATTCATATCTTTAAAAAGCATTTCTAACGGCGGGTAGTATATTGGTGGAAAAGTCCCAAAGTGGAAAACTGTCCGGGAAAATTTGACAGCTGTCCGAGGAGCGCAGCGTTACATTCCATGGCATGACATCGAAATTCAATAGATAGTCCTAAACAATCCTTTACGCAATCTCTTTTGTACCCACAAAGAAAATATTGTTGAAGTTGCCTTCCCATGCAAGGGTAATTTAGAGTATCAAGGAAAAAGAATGAAGTTGTTTCATATTATAGGTAAACTGAAGAATTCTGCATTCCTTTGTAGGTTTACGAAAGAGTCGCCTTAGCATTGACTCATTGGGGTAAGTTGTCTCAAATTGATAGTAGAAGAAAAGGAAATGAATCGGTAAACTTAAGCAAAGGGCTCCCCTCTCTGTAGAGGGTACAGTGATACCCTGCTACTGACAGACCAACCCTTGTCGCGCTGGAAGAAGAACGTGACCACTCCTTGTGGTGAACTGGTCCCATAAAGTTTGTGTTTCTTTATGCCCGTAGAAATGCACAGAACACAGACGGAGTATGAGGACAGTTTGACTTTCAAGGTCTTCGTGTTCCAGTTTGTGAACTTCTACTCGTCCATCTTCTATATTGCATTCTTCAAGGGAAAGTAAGAAAGTAGTTTTAGAAGCATATTTAAACTATTAGGGTTATTTTGCCATTACAACTCAACCAGACACACAAAGTGTTAATATCAACACTTTGTGTGTCCGGTTGACGACCTCAACTTACAAACTACGATCCCATAACGCCCCACTCACTTCGTGCCCGTCTCCAGTCCTCTTATACGTAGCGGTAAAATATTCATTTATGCTAGTTACGACAATCACAATTGACATTTTTCGCTTGGTGTTGTATTCTACATTCAAGCCCTACATCGCGTGTGATCGTCCAGTTGATCATGTTTATAATGTCGGAGGGAAGTTATTTTCAGAGGTTTTGGAGGGGTTGGGAAGGGGTTGATAAGGAGATTTAACTTCATATCAGTGCAGGGTACTCATGATTTGTGGAATGTGCATTTTGTTTGTAGGCTGGTTGGTTACCCCGGACATTACCGCAGATTGTTTGGCCTCAGGCAAGAAGAGGTAAGCTAGATTGCGAAAGTCATCATTAGGTAGAGTAATGGTGTCACGCTTACATTTCGAGACTTTACGCAGCCAGTAGGTTTCGTTATTGTAACTCACACCAACATATGATTTGTTGTTTACTAGTGTGCACCTAGTGGCTGTCTTATGGAGCTGGCTCAGCAACTTGTGATCATCATGGTTGGTAAACAAACCATAAACAACGTGCAGGAGATTGTTATTCCGTAAGTATAACGCTGAGTTAGATTAGTACATAGCGGTTCTAGGAAATCCTGGATTGTTTCGGCTTTAGTGTAGAGCGCTTTTTGATTGAGTATCGTAAAATCAAAACCAAAATAATCACACCAGCTTATCAGAAGAAAGGAAAGGACTTTTAAGAGCCAGTGAGAACTCAAAGTAAAACCAACCAAAAAGCGCGGGAAGATGCGGGTGACCAAGTCGTGATTTGCATCTGATTGGTAGAGAAAGTGCTGCGAGTTTTTTCTGGACCAATCACAGAGTGAAGTAAATCAAAATCAACGCAATCCCAGGAAACTTTCGACACTCAATTGAATATTGCTCAAATATTATATGATTCATCGAGCAATCAGAGGCAAACCTTAAACCAATCGTTAACCAAACGTTTCTCCGTTCTCAAGCCTGGTTGCGAGTTTTGCCTGTATTTTGATAACCCCTTTCAGTTACTTAGGTTTGCTTTTGCAGCTCTCAATAAAGAGATCTATTTTTTCTGCAAAGAAAAAAAAAATCATGGCTTTGGGTAACCAGCAACCTGAAATTTATAAGACGATGGTTCAGCATTTAGGGAAGAAGCTGAGGGTTTTCCAGACGAAATTGTTGGCTGATCGAAATTAAATACCTCTCATAAGTGAAGTGCTTGATGATTTGTCTGTAGGATGTTAAAACAATGGCTCAAGAGAAAGAAGCGCGGTACATCCAAAGAAGAAAGCAAACCTCGTTGGGAGGCCGACTATGAACTGGTGGAAAATGAAGGACTCTTCCAAGAATACTTGGAGATGAGTAGGTGTCCACGGAAAATATTGCTTTTGTAGTAATAGCTAACAAATAGATTCCACCGCTGCATCGGTATCGCAGAGATCATGGGTTCAAATCCCGTACGGGCGTGAATTTTTTTTCAGGCTTTATTTTCACTACTACTCACAAGTAGTGTTCATAACTGTGAGGATCGCTTCCATATTCGAAATAGATTCCATGTTGCCATGCGCTTGTTCAGTAATAGAACACAGATGACGTCAAATGTGGTAAGAAAAAAAAGTAGGATACCAGGCGTAGCTTAGTATGTCACTGCTGTTCTTACCACGTTTTGATTTCTTCTGTGACTCGTCACTGTACAGACCCCCGACAGTCTAGAATCGATTTGTTTTAAATGATAAATAAGCAAAATGTTGTGGATGGTGACGTCTTATATGCGTCTGTCCTCCAAGTTATCATACGTAACAGCCAATCAAAATGCGTGTAGGATTGAGCTTATCATAATTATTATAATTTGATAATAATAGACAGATATGCGTAGACTAAACAAGTAAGAAGAATATTTGATCTAAGACTGTCTCATTAGGGTAAAACAGTAGAACAGGAAACATTGATTCCGTAGAGTTGCTCATTTTAGTCAGTTAATTGTTAATGGGAGTGAGTAACAGTTCTTTCCGTCGCAATTGCTAGTAGTGAAGTTCATATCACAATTTCTGCCAAGAAGGAAACATCTGAAAATATCCAACTAAAAATTTAGCTTGGTGATGTACAATTTTTCTTACAAACTGTTGTTTTCACCCAAAAAGTTCTCCAGTTCGGTTTCATTACAATCTTTGTGGCTGCCTTTCCTCTGGCTCCGTTCTTCGCTCTCGCCAACAACATCTTTGAGATTCGCATTGACTCAGACAAGTTCGTTTGTGAGGTGAGACGACCCATCGCCGACAGGGCTCAAGATATCGGCATCTGGTTTGACATTCTGGACAGTGTTGCTAAGATAGCCGTCATCAGCAACGTAAGTAGAAATATCCAATCACAATAACGGAAATAAATTAAACATCAATCACAAGGTGGCTTGCACAATAGTCGATTACTCTCGTGTAAACAACGAACTTAGAACTTGTTTAAGTCTCTGAATACGTTTTCTACTGCTAGAGATTTTTCATGTGATGCCAAGTCAATAAGGCAAAAATGTGCTCTATATCTGTGTTTATAACTTTTTTTCTGCAGGCCTTCCTCATCGCTTTCACCTCAACCTTCTTGCCAAAGATCCTGTACCGCTTTGCAATATCAGAAAACAATTCCCTAGAGGGATATCTTAACTTCTCCTTGGCTTGGTCTCCCCATAACACTACGGCTGTACCATGCAGGTATGCCTAAGTCTTGTGAGTAATTTTCTACGTAGATACACAAGACATAATTTATCTATCAAGCGAGTTGTTGCATGTAAGGAAGGCTTTTATGTTGACCCAAAGTCAATTTCCGACTTTTGAACCTTAACGGGATGCCGGTGATATCACAATTATCTGTTACGGAGGCACTGAAACCCAAATTTAATGAGCTCCATGCTAGGAATTCGTTAGATTTCAATGTAGCCAGTAGTTTGAATTTTGTCTGTTATGCTGTACAGAGTTCGAATTATGATTTCGCGAATCTTCTCAGACTGATTTATTCCACTTCTGTTGAACTTTTTCAGATACGCAGAGTTTAGAGATCGTGAGGGTCACTTCACTAGTTTTTACTGGCATCTGTTAGCCCTTCGGCTAGGATTTGTCATCATGTTTGAGGTGAGATTGTCTCTTTCTAGTCGTGATGCTTGTAAGTAATTCAGTCGATGTAGCTATCTCAGTTGTTTACTCCAAAGTAAATCGGAATATCCTGTGAGCTCTCGTGGGCTCCCAAAATAGTATTATATACCGTCATAACCTCACGCCCTATTGCTTAGCAACTTGATGAGCGAACACCATAGCCTCACTAAAACGGTTACCAGTCGTTGAGTAACCACGGTCGTTTCGTACCCGGTCGTTTCGTACCCACGGTCGTTTCGTTCCCTGTCAGTTGAGTCATTTCGTACCCCTCTCGGTCATTTCACACCTAAACTAACAAAGTATGTTTTCCATGTATTAAGTGAAGAAAAAAGATAACATTTACACGAGCTATTATTGTTAAAAAAAAAAAAAAGTCACAAGTATCAACAATAGACTTTTCTATAAAATTTCACACTCACCGTGAGCTAGGCAATAATTAAGTTGCTTACTCGTTTTACTCAACTTTTTTGTCATATGCAACGATTGATATCTGTTCACGCGCTGGCGCGTGATGCATTTTGATTAAATGTATGAATCGATGAGCGGGTTGGGTACGAACCGACCTAAACTTAGGTAAGAATCGAATGCATTTGAGCACAAAACGAGTAAGTACGAAACGACCGGATACCACTGAAACCTGGACTCTTTTATACTCTCCTTGTAGCACTTTGTGTTCTTCGTGTCTCGTTTGATCGACTTACTGGTGCCAGATGTACCACAATCGCTTGAGATCAAGATCAAGCGCGAAGCGTATCTTGCTAAGCAGGCGTTGTCTGATCACCACAATCTAATGGGAGGAAAAAGTGATGGTGAAAGTGCCGACGATCTGGAGGAAGATTATATACCCTAACTAATGTTTGCCTTTTTTAGTGTAGAAAGGAAATTGCAAGTCCTGAAAATGTGCATCGCGTGATCGCGTCACACTATGCTCAAATTTGCGTGACTCCAGGCTACGTGAAGGGGCACGTGGTACTGCACAACGCCAGTTTTTTTCTGGGTGTATTTTTATGGTCAACCAAAGTTCAAAATTTCTCCTCTGAAAACTACCGGTCACCTCATTATTTTCAGGTCTTGCAAACCGTTTATGCTTTTGTAGCTGGGTGACATTGTAGTTGAGATGCAGAAGCCATACTATATACGCTTCAGCTGTGTGGGTGTATAAGTAACAATGGTGACGGTGTACGTGATTGGTTCAAAGAATGGCAAAAATAATTATTGATATATTTATATCCTTAAAATCAACTATTGTCGTGCGTAGTTTTAGTCGCTTGAGCTGATTTCCTCCCAATTAATGAAATAAAAAGTTATAAGAAAGATTTTTAGTGCATGCAGGAGAGAACGGATGCTGAGATTTTGAGAGTTTTTATTTCCTCTCTGAAAATTACACAACATTTCCATGAATTTCTTAAAGTTTCTTGTTTTTCGCCGTTTTTGTTTTTTTCTTCTTCTTCGTCTTTTTCATTGTAAAGTTATTTATTTCGGTATGAAGGTTTCTTTGGTCTTCATTGGTCAGTTTCAAAAGAATTTTCAAATGTTGAAAACGCTCAAAGATCCTTAATCTTTGATGTGTCAGACAGTTTATTCTATTCATTAAAAACCCTCACAACTCTCAAGATAGCAGAAAAATAAATTATTTATTCCCGTTAAAACTATGTTATACGCTGAGGTGGTAGGCTGATCGCAATTGCTATCAAAATATAAGTTACGGGGAACGTCCTTATGGCGACGGGTTGATATCTGATTTTCAGATCTTTAGATATTGTTTTTCTTACTGTTATTGTATAATATCTCCTGGAAGGGGAATAATTTCGATTTCACCAGTAGTGAAATCAATATGGCACTTATTGATTTATTGACATAGAATGTCAAGATATTTTCCGTCATCTGCCATTGAAAGGAAACTAGGAAAATCGGTGGATAGAGAGATAGAATCTTATTTGGAGGCAACTTCGTTCCCAGAGTCCTCAATCTTCCTCCCTTGAGGAAGGAAACGAGGGGACCTTGGGAACGAGATTGATTTCGAGGATAAAAGGGGATAAATTATGTCATTTAAGAGGATGAAGCGGAACCAAAACTGGTATTGTTGGTGTTTGAACGACTGATGAAAACATACCAAAACCGACTGGTCAATTGTCACAGGCACAACGGAATCTTCAAAATTACGTTTCTTAACCCTTTGAGGGTCTCTTACAAATACTCATTTAATTGAATGTAATTTATTCAGGTGATATATTTTATTAGAATATTAATTTACGGTTCGTCAGGGCAGAAGAGCTAACAATTCGCATGGAAAGTTCGCTTTCCATTTGTTTTTCAAGAAAAATTATATTTGAAAATTATTTAGTAAGTTATTAAGTTTTATGGGATATTTGTCGGGAAGGCAACATTGTATAGTTCAGGGATGGAGAGTGTAAATTCCCGTTATTGGGGCTCCAATTGTTTTCTTTACCTAGTTTGGTGTCTAAGCGACTTAATCGCTGTGTATAGTACTTTCTGTCATAAATATTGGTTTAGTTAGTTTCAGCTTGGTCCAATATCTTTATAGTTATTAGCTTTGATAAAGGGTACGACGCTGTGATATTTTTCTCTCTGCTACATTAATTGATACATTTAGAATTACCCTCAAAAATTAATACGATAGTTAATGAGACTTGCTATTAATTACAAAATCAAATTTCACTTTCTTTAATTTTGCTGCACTAACTTACTTCGGGAATAGTGTCCTTCTGAAACCAAAATTAGAATCTGTCATCTATATAACGGATTTGGTTTTATGGCAGGTTGTGTAGCAGGGATACCTTGAATCGTGTAGTGGTGTACCTAGTAACTGGATAGTAACAGCGTTGATTCATGTCGTATGATAGTCAGCGGTATAACACTCAAGGGCGGTACACTACCTGCAGGCGGGTGGCCTGGGACTGTATTAAAAGACGTGCAAGAGTGGCTGAAATAAACTGGTTCGTTGGACAATATTGATTGTCTCTTTCATTTAACTTTTGTGGACAGTCTGTTTCAATTGTCATTCCGTCTCCTTTCGCTCGCACGAAAATGCTTTCATGGCTGTTACAGGTCAGGGAGAAGGTAGAGAAAAAATATTCCTTCAAAGGGAGATGGAAAATGCTGACACTTTTTGACAGTAGATAATCCTCTTCTCTCGATTAGGAGGGATTATTCCCCTCTTAATCCAGGTCAAGTTGTTTTGTGGATGAAACTTCTCTTTTTTCCATACTTTTTAACATTTCAAATTCTTTAGTACGTTTCAATCACACGAAACATGTTGGATTGATAGAGTATTGCTGAATGAAATTGAACAACACAATGGTATCAGGTTTCCAAGAAAAGCAAATATATTTCCATGTTGCGTTAAGGAACGGTCAGTTCACGTGCACTGCATGTGACTCACTAGAAGCATAGAGAAAACGATGGAGGGGAGGTTGAACTGAGGCCAATATCAGGACTGATATGTGAAATGGTCAATTCTACATTTGTCACGGAAACATCAGGGAATTTCAAAAACCTATGGCTCGAAAACCATGACTTTAGATTAATTTTTGCAGCTTAATCTCTAATTATTCTGGTACATCTTTTCTGATCATCCGTAATTTAAATATTTCACGTACCACTAAAAAATCCCTTGTAGCATTTTTATGCTATTAATTGTATCTTACTTAAATGCACAGCACTACATAAACGCGCCTCCTATGTTAATAAATTTGTTTATTTTCCTTGTCTCTACGGGGCCTTCCCGTTCATTGAAAATGGCGTTTGTACCTTAATTTGAGCTCTGTTAATTGCCCAAGTTACCTTACGTAGGATCCATGATGTGCGTGTTGGGTTCGTTATTTTTGTTCTTTTATCCTTTCTTTCAGTTTTTTGCAATTCTCGGTTCCAAAAAAAGTTTAAGTTTTAGAAACTCTTTACAGTAGCCAATCTACAATGACCAA